ACTGGCAATCAGGTGTGCTGACCTCTTGGCTTTATGAATACATGGATCAATTGCAAACCCAATGTTTGAGCCACAGGGTGATGGGCGGGGGGATGCAGTTGTAAGAGATACTCTGTCCTGTTTAGCAGGATTCCAGATTAGCACTAGACCTTGTCCAGTTATGCTAAAACAATGCTGAATACATTTTAACAAAGCATATGCAAAAAAGGGCAAGTTTTCAGAGCTATACTCACCTGCACAGTCATCCATCAAAAAATTCTATCAGTCTTGCTGCATCCTATCTTAAAGAGACTTGATATTTTTCCCACTGGTTGCTGAGGTGTAGTGGAAGGGCATACAAAGCCATAGGAACCCAGCAATCACTTTCTTTAACTTCTTCTGTATTAAAACTGTTAAGAACAACAACATTCCCTGATCTTGTTAACTGAGGCAGAATAGGGTTTAGCAATCAAGGCAGTATAATTTACATTGCCATAGTTTTCTTGCTGGCTCAAGAAAAGGGGAAATAAATACAAATGTAGCCACCAGGAAAAGTATTTTTAATAAATTAAACAGAAAGTAATTTACTTTCCATTTATCAACTTATTATCAGCACCTCACCAGATGCTGTTCTATACTGCCACCTATTATTTGCTCTTGAATACTGCAGTACACAAATGAAAAGTGAAAACAATAACGTTAATATTGAGATTGCTCCTGTGCGCTGCATCTTCTCACAAAGCTATGTTTTTTGAGTGGAAAATAGGTATTTGTAGAACATAAGTTCTATATCATGAACTGTACCATACACACAAATTTATAGGGCTAAAGACTTTGCTTCGGATATAAGATGGTAAATCAACATTTAGATTCAGGTTCAGAGGAGAGTGGTTTTTTCCTTTCCCCATAGTCAATATGCTAATATTAACATTGCTTAGTAAATGTTAACATGTTGACTTAGTAGAAAATCTTGGTTCATTTTTTTGCCCTGATTTTGGTATATATCTCATGGTGCTCATTTGTGATTTGCTTTGCTTTAAATCATATGATTATCACCAAAGGCTAGTAAGATCATGGGTTAAATATAGGCAAGGATTATGGCATGCTCTCAACAGCTATCGGTTTAAGAGAAAAACAACACAAGAACAAGAACAACAAAAAGCTCCTTCAAAGGCCAACTTACAACCTGCCCGCCAAGAATGCTTAGTGTCACATTACTTACATCTTTCAGAAATGTTTAACTAGTTATTTGGCCATCTGTATTTGTGTAATCTCTAGTTCCCTACATCAGAAACACTTTTGATTTATTTCTCCCTTGAGAGGAAAAATGTTTATGAAATCTACAAAAATAAAAACAAGGAACCACAGTATGTGTTTAAATAAAGCTTGTGATTGAAATCCACCATTGTTTGGTACCATCTGTTATTTGTGCAGAATGTCAGGTTATTCCTGTTTTAAGTAAAACTCAGTACAATTCCTTACCCTACCCAAACATGTTAGAATATACCTACCTCTGCCTTAAAATGCAGTTCCACCATTCCTACTTTTCAGAGCAATAAAAAAGTTCCAGAGTGCCTACTCATTTGGAAGGCAATCACTGGAAACTTAAAGTGTTTAGTTTACTGGACATATAAATAATTTAAAGGCATAATTTAAAAACTCTCCAGAAGACAGTGAAATCCATTGCCTCAGTGTTGAAATTTCAGAGTCTCGATAGATGGCCACACTATTTATATATGTGTTTATAATAAATCCTCATCATAAGAATTAGTCATCTTCTTTGGCTTCTTCTAGCCTTCTTGATTAATTTATCTGCAATTTACTTAAAACAACGATGTGCTGGGAGTTATCCTCATAATTTTGGCTTCCTTTTCTTTCTTCTGTTCAGATCTTCAGTTTTACCAAATAACATAATAAATCTTAACCATTTTATAAGCATATGTTGCCCAATAAAGAGGTGTTGGGGAGTGGGAGATGAAGAGATGAAAGGCTGAAAGTTAAATCAGATATTAAGTTGACGCTTATGGAGCAACATTCATCCATATAGATTAAGTCAGCTGAACCTTTGATCAAACTACTGACATTGTGGGGGTTTAAAAAAAAGTAGCCAGATTCCTCCTTCTCAAGAGGTTGGATCCAAACAGTCTTTTATAAGACATAGCCATGAAATCAATGAAACTTAAAAGAAGATACAGCAGTGTTAAAAGTACTTCCCATTGATTTCAGAGCATTTACAGTAGGATCCAATGAGCCAGGATCCAACAAGCCAGGATCTAATCTATTAATGTATTTGGGTTCTTGTGCACATAAATAACAATAGGATGGGAGTTAGAATTCAACATTTTAATTCACATAGGTCCACATTAATAAGCCAATGACCTTCCAGAAGTTACAGATCCATCAATCATTGAATGCCAGTGTGAATATTGGAGATACAGTTCAGTGACTTTTGGAGTGCCACATTAGATGTACACCCCAAAGGTACTTTTTCAAGAGGCAGCTGGATTTTCTTTTGGTTTCTCATCCATGAGATGAAATAAGATTCAAAGAAAAATCAGAAAGTCTAGTTGCCTCTAGACTTTCCATGACATGGATGACTGAGAATCTCCATAAACACTTGGAAGTACATGATTATGTGTTGTGACTCCAAGACTTGAACCTGATTAGTCAGCAGATGTGGGCTCGAGTGAAGAAGAAGATCTGGCATTAAGATTCGAGCCTGCATTGCTGAGCGACCTTGAGAGGAGTCTGGGGGACGAGGAGTTGAATCTGAGAGATGAACCTGATTTATTAGAAGTTTCAGAGACCTCTTCCTCTTCTGGAAATCCCTCCCTGATTGCACCTCAGGTGTTAACTGTTAATCAGGAAAGTGTATCAGAAGATTCCAGCTGTGATGAAACTGCCGGATGCTGGCTGGATGCCAGAACTAGGAGAAGATTGAGACGTCAATCTCAATTAGAAAAGAGAAGCGCATGACTTTGGAATATTTGCTGGAAACAAGGTGAATCTTGCCGTGGAAAGACTTGCGTCTGATTTACTGCGTTGTGAGCTTTACAGAATTGCCGGACAGATTCTAGGAGGATTGCCAAAGGACTGTGATAACAGAGCAATTAATCTTCTGACTCCGGTTTCGTTTTTGTAAAGTATTTGAACTTTATTACTCGAAGTTTCATCTGTGGATACAGGTAGAACAGAACAATTATGTATGTATTATGTATGTATGTATGTATGCATGCATGCATAGATAAATGATAGGGAAAGAGAGAGACTTAGGAGTTGGCAGACAGATTTAGGAATTACATATTACGTATGCATGAGACTGCACGTAATAATTTTTCACTTTGGAAATATATTTAACAAAAAGTGGATTAAAATTGCTATAATTAAATAATTGCAACATTTCTGTCTCTACTGCTTACTTTAGTGTCATGAATCTTTATTGAAGATTAGCAATATACATTAGACCTCCAAATTTTTTTGGGTATGGGGGGAAGGTATGAGAACCGACACGGAGAGGGAATTTACTGCAAAGAACTTATTCCATTACAGGTCTCCATTTCCCTGGTAGCCAAATACTTTTTATACTGTGGAATAATAATTGCCAAAATCAATCTGCTACAACTTGATTTTTCCTCTTTCTATTTTCCCTAGATATTTGTTTTCCAAACCCTTAAAAGAAGAGAAAACATCTCAAATGAAAAGTTGGTCTTGAGGAATAAAGTGTAAGGTTTCTTTGTAATGATTTGAGAGAAAATAATAAAAAGCAACACTGTTATAGTTCTGCATACATCAATACATGTATCAATATATTATCTATCATGCAATTCCCTTTCAGAAACATTACAGTATGCAAAATACAGAAAAAGGTTGTTAGGTACTGGAAGAAAGAAATTAAATGTGAAGTATAGAAGAGTGGGAGAAAGAAAAGCTAAATATAGTTTACATTAGTACAGTTCACTAACTACCTTAGCAATAGCAATAGCACTTAGACTTATATACCGCTTCACAGCCCTCTCTAAGCGGTTTGCAGAGTCAGCATATTGCTCCCAACAATTTGGGTCCTCATTTTACCTACCTCAGAAGGATGGAAGACTAAGTCAACCTTGAGCCTGGTGAGATTTGAACTGCCAAACTGCAGACAGACAGCAGTCAGCAGAAGTAGCCTGCAGTACTGCACTCTAACCACCATGCCACCATGGCTCATGTTGTTGTGCTTTTCTTTTGTTGTTTTACATCCTTCTTTCCACCCACTATCACTGTGGCTTATAGAGTTTGCAAATAGTATTACTAGTTTACTGAAGACCTCAGTGAGCCCAGAGCTTGATGGTATTTCTTTGGTGTTATTATGTTCTTATTTTGGATAAAACAAGGACTATAATAAAGAATAATTACATTCACTGAACACCCATTCATTCTTGATTCTATATCTTCTTGTATTACCTTTCACATTTTTAAGATACTATTTTCTTAAATTTAGTTTTATTTTTCTCTGGCAATAATCAGCTGTCACATAACCAAATAGCCAGAGTCAAAACTCTCTCACAGCATTTTAACCTCATTTACTCTTCTTATTTTTCAAGTTTCAATCTTTTATACACTATGGTTGTTACCAGATGGGTCAATAGCTACCAAGCTCTGCTGCTCATCATGAGTTTGATTAACTGAGAATTTCTCACAATGTTTGGCAAGAGGAAAAGAAAGTACTAGCCTGCAACTTGTGTCACATGTGGCATTATCTACTTGTGATCAAATCAATATCATTTAGTTTTTCCAAATTTCAGCCAAGCTCAATTTTACATTAAGCACCCTTATGCTATTCTATGCAAGCTTAGATCAATAATCTATAAATTTTTAAGCAATTGCAATTGTTCCTGCAATTACATTCATTAAAAAATATTACTGTACTTGAAATGTCCAATTTCAATTTGGTATAAAGTTGAGTAGTTCAACTCATTCTTTTTTTCAGAGAATTGAATCAGGACATTTTTGCAGCACCCCAGAAACAGAATACACAGAATAAAATGTACAGTAATGAAGAAAAAGAATATTGTATTGGAGAAATTGACTTCTTGGCTACCGGAAAGAAACAGGGAAAGGTACCACAAAACCTCTCAGCATGATCAACATTCAGTAGAATATTATTCCTATTCTATATTGTCACTGAATATTTCTAAAAGAGATCCTTAAACAATATTTTGTATCAATGCTCATGATTTACGCTTATTCAGGGCACTCTTGTTCACAAAAGAGACTGAGATTCAGTAGCAATCTCACAAAACAAGGGGAATCCCAAAGGTGCTTTTTCAAGAGGAAACTGGACTTCCTGGTTTTCTCTGAAGAGCTAAAGAAGCTTCTTGGATGAGAAGCAAAACATCTTCAAAGAAAAACCAGGAAGTCCAGTTGCCTCTTGAAAAAGCACCTTTGGGACCACCATGACCCGGACAACTGAAATTATTATCTTAGAATAGATGAAAGATCTATGGGGACACTGATGAAAAAATAATACGCTACTTGGTGTTTATAGATACAGCTACTTGAATGCCTTCTTTAATCTGGTGTTTGATTCATCATGTGTTGGACCAGCTCCTGGAATTCCCAGCCAGTCTTTGGCCTTGTAGTTTGGGAATTCTGGGAACTGAAAAGACAACATAATGGGAGCCATCAGAATGATTTCCACAGTCTGCCATTTTTCAAAGGGGTAGAATGAAGGGGCATGAAGTAGATACACAGCACTGTTGTTCCCAAGTTCCTCTTATTTAAAATAGTCTTTTGTGGTCTTTCCTTGTCTCACAGTCATGATAACAACATATTAGAAGCTAACCCCATAAAAAATGCCCATAATCTGCTAGTTATATTTACATGTGAGACAGAAGCCAGCTTCTGGTTTCAACAATCTTATTTTTTCTTCATGTGTTTTGTCTGAATGTCCTTGTCTTGATTATAGTTTCTTAAGGTTCCATGTGCCATCCATCCTGAAGTTATTTTTGACCTCATGAGTAAAAAGTGGAACCTTCCTGCTCCCAATCTGGTGGTCTCTTTTGTTGGAGAAGAAGAACACTTTCAGATGAAATCTTGGTTACGTGATACATTGAGGAAAGGATTGGTTAAGGCTGCCCAAAGCACAGGTTTGTTTTGTTTTGTTCCTGAAAAAAAATAGCATTGTCTTTCATCTTAATTTCATCTTATTTAATTTTAACCTTTTTTAATTGTTAAGACTCTACAGGACCAAATTTCCAAAAGATTTAACATACTAAAATATACCGAGACTCTTCAAACTTTTCAGCTTTTGTTGATTCAATTTGCTAAATTTTCTGAGAAGACTCAAAGCTGTTAGAAATCAGATTATTTCACTTAGAAGTATTTTAATTTCTCTTAAAAAGAGCATGAAAAGATCGAAAAAGAGTTACCTTTATAATCATGTCACCATTTTCCAACCTAATCATCATATCTTGGATGGTAGTGAAATCCTTGGGCACAAGTAAACAACCTTATTTTATCATTCTGTCGATGGTTTCACTCTGCTTCCTTCCTTCAGTCTTTGATCAGAGAAGCCATATGATGACTTCTTAGCTGTGTCTCTCTTAACTGCCCTGGTCTAAACTGATAAATATATCCATGCTGCAATCCTCAACGGTCAGTTTTGCTACATTTAGGAAGGAACATCTTCATTTCTCTTGCACATCTTTTTATACAGCCTCTTGATCATATCTTTCTGAAATATGACAAAAGTTGTTTTTCAGCAGAGCAGCTACAATTGTAATATATTTCATCACACTCTGTCTCAGAGCATCACATTTACAGGTACTTAAAAAAAAATGAAAGAGTTAGTTCAAAGTCCTGTGCATCAATTTTAATGAAATTTGGTACTCTTCATCCCCACATGAGTTTAACTGCAGAATTTATTCTGTGCCAGAGAAAAATAATGTGCAGCCTATAATGGTGTGGCTATTTGTACATGCAGACACATGGGGATATGGTGGGTCAGTCTCTATGGCTCTATCAAATGGGGATCCCTAAACCACTATCTGTTATGGCAACCCCTCACCATCTTTGCTGTGTAGGCCTGACTTGTTGCTGCTGCTATCACTATTTATAGAAAAAAAAAACCTGCTCTTTGCATCTTTATTCTGGAGGAATGAGATGGAATTTCCTCTTACAGAAGGGCAAGAGCTAACAGATGCATAATGGGCTAAATTCTTCCCAGAAGATTGAGAAAACTGAGAATTGAAGACAAGGGAGATAGTGAAAAAGGGAAATGATCATGAATCCTACAGCCTTTAATTCACAGCTAGTATTCTAGACATCAATACATACAAACATACATACCAACATACATGGAGAGGGGGAGGGGGAGGGAGGGAGGGAGAGAGAGAGACACACACAGAGAAAGACAGAGAGAGAGAAAAGAACAAAGTAGGATACCTAGAAACAAATAGCTCATTTTGAGGTTCCTAGACTTTCTGATCTCAACATCTTAGCCAAATTGTAAGGTTTAATTTTGATTGATCGACTCATCTGTATTTCAGAGTATTTTCTCTCCTTACATAACCATTTGCAGTTTTCCTGTGTTAATCTATGAGGGAATAGAGTTGTTTCTCTGAATCTTGCTTTGGTTTGAATTAAACAAATTCATATAGAACGATCCATATTAGATGAAGCTCTGTCCCAAGCTCTAGATTTAATCCCTGTACCTGGATTAGGTAATGCTACATGCCTTTGGTTCTTAAGTTTATCTAATATCAAGGCTGAAAAATAAATCATTTCAGGTGCTTGGATTTTTACAAGTGGTCTGCATGTTGGAATAACAAAACACATCGGGCAAGCAGTCCAAGATCATATGTTGACAAGTACTTCGTCTACAGTAAAGGTAGTTGCAATAGGAATAACTTCCCTGGAGAAAATACAGCAGAGAGATCTTCTGGATAATGTCAAGGTACCCTTTTTTCATTGGCAAAAGTATGGAAAATATATGTATAGACTAGAGGATACTTAAGAACATGTAATGCTCTGGGAACTTGCTAAGAAGACTTTCATTTGATAGAAATTATTACATGCAACATATGATTTAATCATATTAACCAGACATGGTCCAGAAGGACAATTTGCTTTTGTGTGAAAAGTGATATCTTCTTTTTTATAGAATGACATTCTCATAAGCCACAAAACTGATAATAATGTCCAAGGGCCTTTGTATTCCCTTGACAATCACCATTCCCATTTCATTTTGGTGGAAGAGAGTGAGCCAGATGGGATAACAAAGCTACAACTTACCTTGGAGAAACATATTTCAGAACAGCGTACTAACTATGGAGGTAAGACCAAAAAAAAAGACAAGAAAGGCTGTTATTTGGATGTCTGATATTTTCAGGGGGTTGTTGTTGCTTAATGATTGGACAGAGTCAGATTTACTTTAATTAGAACACAATCATTGAAATCAATAAGACCAATTCGCAGATAATGTAAATCTGGCAGCTAATATCATATCTGTATAATTGGTTTGGTTTAGAAAAATATTCAGTAACTGAGAGTGTGTGCTCATATACTCCATAAACATATAAGTCTATATGATTGCTCATAACAGAGAATGCAGTAATCCACATGTAAAATGTAACTGTTTTATATGTATGAAGAAGCTAAAGAGATAAGAAGGCAAACAAGAAGGGATGATATATGCTGTATGTGGTAGCAACATATAAGAAGCAAACGATTGTATTAGACATTTGATTTCCTCTCAAAAGATGGTTTTCAAGTAGTATTAGTTTCTTAATGAATTTCGTCTTTGCTGAGCATCAGCACATGTTATTCTTGGGCATTGAATCTTACCTGAGTTCATCACTCCTCATACTTGGATATATCTCCCTCTCCCCCTGAACATCTCTCACACACATCTATCTCTCTTACTTAAGCCAAAGTCAACAAAATCCATTACAACTTAGAGTGATGAGTGATCTGTACAAATATTGTTTAGGTCCTTCTGCTATTTTGTAGCATGGTCAAGCAGGGATGATATTGGGCATAAACTGATTAGAAGCAAATAATCAGCTGAATTAGTAAATAGATATTTTGAATTTTGTGAGATATTTATTACATATTTTATAATATATTAACTCAGGAACAGGTAGCATTGAAATCCCAGTTCTCTGTTTACTTGTGAATGGAAGACCTCACATTCTTGAGGTAAGCAAATGAACAATTTTTGTTGTCATAAAAATTCTAACTATACAAAGATTCTAGTGCTGGGCAAGAAACAGAGGATTCTGAACACAGGGGCCTATGTGGGTGGATTGCTTAAAAGTGAAGTATATAATATAGCTCCTGGATAAAGTCCAGTTAGAATATCACAGAATAAGAGACCAGAACAATTTTCAGTTCCTTATTTAGTTAAATGTAATAATGGAAGAGGAAGAAATAAGCTTGGTTATGTTGATCAAAATGGCTGTCTAGTAGCTCTCTAAATATGGAGTACAGGAAATGTTATATTAGTCTTGTCTAAGCATCGGCACAGGATGTCCATGGGTACCATGTTCTTACAGGGATTATCATTGGAATCCCTTCCTTTTCTTTTAAAGTTTACTTCATTTAATGTTTGATCTGATCTTCATAGATTGTTTGCCATTGACGTCATTGGGATTTTGAAAAACTTTCAATCTAGACTGCAGCTATGCAATTTTCTAGTCTTCCTTCCAAATTCCTTACCAGATCAGCCCCTGCTGCAACCTGACAGGGTTTGGTATAAATTCCTCTGAATTCAGTGAATTCTGAATTCTGGGTTTGATATAAATTCCTCTGAATACAATTATGTGGTTTTCTTTGGTCTGAACATATATGACCCTATTTGTTTTTGTTTCACTAGCGAATTTTCAGGGGGTTGAAAAATTCTATCCCTTGTCTTATTTTGGCTGGATCTGGTGGTATAGCTGATATCTTAGCTGCCCTGATGAGTGAGCCACACTTAATTGTGCCAGAAGTAGTAGAAAAACAATTAAAACAAAAGTTCCCCACAGAAAATTTCACTTCGAATGAGACTGAACATTGGACTGAAATGGTGAGTTAATTTCTTAATACATCAAATGCATGAAAGGACTGTAAAATATTTTGGGAACATCTCCATTTCTTCTTTGTCTTCTGTCTATCTCAAATCTACCCCCTCTCCACTAAATATATGACTTTTCAAGAAAACAAACAAACATACCCTAGACATTATATCTTAGGAAATATACAGATGATAAAAGATATCAATAAAACCATCCTATAAAGGTAAAATATAACAGCCTTAATGTCAGCTTTGGAAGCCATATTAGCACCAGATGCTTCCGCACTGCCACATCATTGAGCCTGGGAAAATGGGAGGGAGGAATTTCTTGGAGTGTATGTGGTTAGACATAATAGCATTCTTCTTCTAAGTCAAGGTCATGTTATTCTGCACCTAGTTGAGGGGACGTCTCAAGCTAGGACAGATGGTGATTGGGGCATGTGATGCGATGATGGGTGCAGGGGGTGGATTTGTAATTTTTTACTTATTGCGAGGAAACCCGGAACTTTCAGATTCGGGATTTCCCAGATGTGCCAGTTTACTACCCAAATAAAAAAGAACTTTTGAGAGGATGTCTGTCTCACAATTATTTATTGGAGTGGAGGTTTTCTGGAACACTGACACATAAAAGAACAAAAGCTAAAATGCTGTTGATTATCAACACCCTGAAAATAAGTGAAAAAGAAAAATAGGGGCCTCTCTATGACCTTCCACTAGGCCATGGGGGAAGATCCAGGGGCCATGTGACTGCCCATCCCTTTGTTGTGTTGCCTCCACAGCTTCCAAAAATCACATGAGAATGAGGCATACTTTAGAGAATAGTTGTTTTCAGGTGTTCGTGAACATTGGCGTATCACCCCAAATGTTCTGGGTGTGTCACTTTTGACACACATGTCATAGGTTCACCATCACTCGCGTAGGTAATCCATCCAGAGACTTAACCCATTATCAATTTGCCCATCTAACTGACTGCCAATTTAGGTGCTTCTGCAGACTAGCCGCTTATCTCCCACCAGCATCTAAGCAACAACTTTTTGAACTAGATTTAAAGGCAGCTCTAAGCAGAACATATTAAAAAGAATCTAATTTTGGAAGTAATTATAGTAAACTTCAAAGAGTTTGGCTCATTTACATGCCCTGAGTATTTCCAGACAAGGCTAGTATTTATTCTTCTTTTAAGTGGGCCCCAGAGACCATGGCTTGTTTTATTTTGCCTCTCATAACCCTTGGCATGTAATATAATCAAAGCATGAATAATCTGTAATTTTAACTGTTGGAAACCAGTTGTCTGCTTTAACCCTTTAGATCCGAAGAATTATCACTCAGGAGCAGCTTCTAACTATGCATTACTTTGAACAAGAAGGTTCAGAAGAATTGGACACAGTTATTTTGAAAGCCCTGGTTAAAGGTAGCATATTTTTAATCAATGCTGTTTATTTGTTAAAACACAAACATAAATCTCACTTGCTTTATGTACAGAATATCTTACTTTAAACATAATCCGAATAGTGAATCACACAAGATATAAATCCCATCAATTCACAAACCAATTCCAATTTAAGCTTCAAAAATATTAAGCTACTATTTTAATAATCATCAATTGCAAATCAAAGGCTTGCTGAGAAAATGACATAGCCATTTTTATATTCGAAAAGAACTATGAGCATTGCCAAGATTAATTGATTATGTGCCATCAAGTATTTGCATGCTTCCATGCAGTGGTTAATTAGCTGACTGTCTAAGTTTTTTTGTAGCAACTTAAAATAATGTTGGATAATGTACCCTACAAATTCATGCTTGGAACTGGGAAAAGGCACATGCTCACACCTGGGCCCTTTTTTAAAAAAAGATAACATTTTTTTCTGTATTATCATGTTTTTGATATATAAACCATCTACACAGAACAAGAAGGTTGAAATTAAAAATGCACAATTATAGCTGAACACTTTTACCTATTAACTGATTGCTTCTCTAATTTAATTAAATCATTAAGTTTTCTGAGTGAATTAAATATCCACCCAACTCTGTCCCATCAAAACACTTTAAAGTATTTAGGCTAAACTGGCAGATCTAAAACATAACTGGCAAATGAAGGCCATCTGAAATAGTAGGGCAAACCATTTTAAAATAAATCAGAAAAAACGTACAATACAATGTAGATTTGAAGCATATTATTTCCTTGAAAGATTGAGGTTACAAAGTTGTGTATACTTACTTGGCAGTAAAGCCATTGAATTTATGGACTCTGAGTAACCTCCACTGTGAATTTATTCTTATTTTATGTTTGTGACAGCTTGTAAGAGTCATAGTCAGGAAGCTCAAGAATACCTGGATGAACTCAAGCTGGCTGTAGCCTGGAATAGAGTGGATATAGCTAAAAGTGGAATATTCAATGGAGATGTGGAGTGGAAGGTAAAAATCCTTCTTTTTAAAACTTATCTTTCAATTATTTATATAGTTCTGGCAATACAGATCTATCATGTGCTTCCAAACTTAGAACTGGGAATTCATGAACTGGAGTTATTGCATAATGAGTCCACCTACATTTTAATTTATTTGATATCCATTGGAAAATTATCTGTCATGGCTCTAATACATTTTGGTAGATATACTAATTCGGGGGTCTCCAACTCCTGGTCTATGGACTAGCACCAGGCTGCAGCATGCCAGAAACCAGACCACACAAACAAGTGAAGCCCCATATGTGGGATGCAGGGAGCACATGAAATCACATCCCCTCCACTTCATGGAAAAACTTCTCTCCATGCTATTGGTCTCTGGTGCCCAAAAGGTTGGGGGCTGCTGTACTAATTGATACATATTGGGCTTTTTCACCCAGGACGTACAAGTTGCTCCATATAGTTAATGTAATCAGATAATGACTCAAATCCTCAACTGAATCATCAGTGGCTGAATGCGTTTATACATATACTTAAACCATGTAGTGAGGTTTCTCAAGATGCAATGTAAAACATTGCCTTGAGGACTGTGTACTAACTTGTAATATAGAATGCTCTCTGCATGTTGCATCATTGGCAGACAATTTTTGTATGGTAGTAATGTCTAGTTCATAAGCTTTTTAATTGAACATTTTTTTCGTGCAGGATGGATTGAAAAGTTGGACAGACAATTATTTTTTCTTGCATTCTTGTTCCTGTCCAATTATAGCTCAGTTCAGAGAGATGATTTGCAGTATAAAACAATTTCTTATAGTCTTATGGTTTCCACGAAGCATAATATGTTGGAAAGAATGATACAGTTCCTAATTGTAATATCTATTATAATGATGGGGTGTTTTTTTTGCATTTGTTATTATTCTAGTCATGTGATTTAGAGGAAGTGTTGATGGATGCCCTGGTGAATGATAAGCCAGAGTTTGTGAAATTGTTCATTGATAATGGGGCCAACATATATGACTTCCTAACATATAGCCGTCTTCAGACCCTGTACTGTAACATTTCCTCAAAGTCTCTCCTCCATAAGCTTCTATTTAAAAAACATAACAAGGAAGATGTCTTCACTCTTCATGAAGTTTCCAGGGTACTGAAAGATTTTCTACATGATGCCTGCAGAGGTTTTTACCATGACAAAAAACCTGGAGGAAAGAAGAAAGTGGTGAGTGTTTTAATATAAATTGTGTTTAATGATGAACATAATACCTTTTGAGGTCTTAGAACTCTAAGGCATAACTAAAATACTTTCAGAACCAAAAAGCATGTAATGGTTCCTTTGAATGGTATACTCAAAGGAAGCCCAGTAGAAATAGTCCTAGTCAGACCTTGAAATCCTGTCTTCAAGGCCAACTTCTAGTGTCAAATTCCCTGAGAAGTAATAATAATAATTTAGTGAACTTATATGCCACTCAACTCAATTTATTCTGTATGGTATAACAGAATACATCATTGGTTTTGAAAAAAAGCAGTTGTATTCATGCTGTTTCTTCTTGGTGGGATATCCTTGTGAAGTCCACCAGCCAGAATATTTAGCCGTGACAAAATCACATTGCCCAGGCGCACCACAAGGAGGCTAGTCTACATTGCACCCCAACCCAACTCAATGTCTTTGGGCAAATAAGTACCGTGTTTTCCCAAAAATAAGACCCTGTCTTATATATTTTTTTTGCCACCTGTTGAGGTAATTCCCTGTTAGGAGAATGAGCGCACACAGAGAGACGTAGTGAGAGTAGTGAAGAACAACACACACACAGAGCACACAGCCACACTGTATAGTAAAATGTAAGTTTTTACTTCCAGTAAAACAGTTAAGCAAAGTTCAACAAAACAGTCCAAGTCATTCACGGTTAAAGCAGTCAGTTTTCAGTCCAGGGATAATCCAAATATCAAAGTCCAGTATCAAAAACAGTTCAGTAACAGACTTACATCAAATCCAAGAAGAACTATGATCAGTCAATAGTCAATAAGGAACAGCAACACTCTCAGCAACAGGAGAAGAACAAAACAACCCAGGTTTCTGGCTCCATCTTATGGCTATTTGAGGAACCACACCCAATTACAATTTTAGCATTTCCTTAAAGAAACAGTATTAAAATGTCTATCCAGGTTTATATATTTTCCAACCCAACTGTTAGGTGACTTACATTCCTAACACCACCAAAAAAGGCACCATGTCTTATTTTGGGGGGATGTCATTCACTGACTAACCTCACTTGCGCACATCACCCCTGACCTCCTTTTCATTGCCAGAGGCCTTCAGGAATGTCTTCTTCTGCAGTTGGCAAGGCTTTCTTGAAGGCCTCTGCAGCCAATAACAGAGCTCTGTGTCTATCTGGAGGCTTGTTATAAGCTACAGAGGCCTTCAGGAAAGCCTTGCCAATCTTGCCGGCTGCAGAAGAACTGGGTCAGCAAGGCAGGTGTCAGGGGGTGTGAGGCCTGGCTACAACTGTTTGAAGGTAAGTAGTAGGGCCACCTCCCTTCCCCATCCTAGCTTAATTTTTACCCATCCATTCTGGAGTGGGCGGGATCTTGATTAGGGCTCATTTTGGGGTTAGGGCTTATATTGGGAGCATATGTAAAAATCAAACTAGGATTTACTTTCAGGGTAGATCATATTTTGGGGGAAACAGTAAGGCAGATATTGGAAAACTGAACTAACAAAATATATCTTAACATAAGTAGGCTTCAAAAGGTACTGTAACACTCCCATTGGAAGTACAGATGAAAACACTACCTGTGCTTTTCTGCTTAGCAGGACTGTTTTGCTTTCCTGTCTATCTGATCATAATCTCTTAACATTTTTTTCCAAGCTATTGCTTCTGAGATGAAGCTGAAAATCCTACACAGAGAAGAGAATGCATCGGGAAGACTTGTTCTCAGTTATACAAAAAATAATAATATCACAACATTTTTACTGAGGGCATACCATATCTTCAGTGGACAACAATAACCTGTGAACCATCCCTCTGAATTTCAATGCTGAAATATTCGGGGGAGGGTTGTGCTGAAATAAGAGATGGAAGAATAGTTTGTTCTCACTTAGGCTTATACTTGTGGAAGCTTGCTTGAATTTTAATAAAAGTAATGAATTAGTGCCTAGTGGAAACTGCTTTTGTTTTTGCCAGCCCAAAATAGAATCCAATGTTCCAGAAAGTTAGGTTTTGCAATTAATTTCCACTTCTTTATATGATACCCCATACAGGAAATTCCAATACCTATTCCTATTCATTTAGGATACAGTAACTGTCTTAATTTAATGGAATGAATTGTCTCATAATCCTGCCAATAACAACTTTAAGACAGCCGGGGAAACATGTGTATATGTATTTGTGCAGACAGAAATGCAATGTGAGATTTGCAGCCGATACCCAATTATATTAGAGAGCCATTGCAATATAAAGAACCATCAAACACAGGTGCATCTGGTTTGTCTCTATAACTATAGCACCTGGAGAGGCATCATATATGTCAAGGTATCTATGCTGATTTTACCAAAATGTTCCCCCCCCCTTACCATTTGGGGGAAAATTTTTAATGTAAATGAGAATAGCCAAAAATTAAGGTAAAAGGATAGTATAAGTTTATTGTATACCTGAATTCTAATCAAGGTTTGCTCAAGAACAGAGAATTACTGTTTAGAAAAACTATTGTGTAAAAGCCCCAGTTGATTTATCTATTAGATTTAGATGTTTACAACAAGCCAGCTGTGGCATCGTAGATTAAAAAGATAGTTTTTGAAGTGGTAAATTGTTGATTTATTTAGGACAAGACAAATGCAAGGAAGTTCTCAAGTCTTGATATGAATCAGAAAAGTGAAAATCCTTGGAGAGATTTATTTTTATGGGCAGTGCTTCAAAACCGGCACGAGATGGCGCACCTCTTCTGGGCTATGGTAAGGTTCAAGAAGCAGACAATTCAACCTTTTCCCTCTGTGTGTATGTTTCTAGTGTATGTTTGACTTAAAAGGCAATTGTTGTGTCTGTCCCTGAAAATATTTCAACATTTAAAGTTGGGCAATAATTTTAGAGAAAACAACCAAATGAGCACAAAAGAATATTATGCAGCTCTGTTTCTTACCTATGGATTCTACTCTATATCTTCCTTTGAAGGGCATATAACTGCTTGTAAACATTAGATTTAAACATTGATTTACAGCTTGCTTTTTGGGACAACTCTTTATAAGATAGTCCATAACTTATGCAAATGAAAAACAATGTTGCAAAATTGCAATATATAAAATGTCATGATTGAAAACCTTAATATGTTTATCAAGTTCTTTCAGGTTCTTTGCTGGCTGAACCACTGTGTCATCCTGCATAAAAACAATTTATAAACAGTATGTGAACAATGGCATGGAAATATTTGTTTCAAATATAGTTAGTGGTTTATTGTTGATAAACCCACAAACGTACTTCAGTCACTGTGCTTTACTTGAACCAATGGGAAAGAAGAAGTCAACACCACCCCAAATATAGATTAACTACAGAGCTGATCAAGGACTGCCAGAGAAACTCTAAAGGACTTACTCATTTATTGATATTTTTTTACCCTGTTTGTATATTGTTGGTGATATTTTTGCTGCAAGCCACTTAGATTTGTAGAGACCAAAATGACATAAAAGAGAGCTCTTTGGTCTGGTGGTTAAGGCATCAGGACAGAAAGCAGAAGACCATGAGATCAATTTCCACTGTAGCCACAAAAGACAGCTGTGTGACTTTGGGCCAGTCATTTTCTTTCAGCCCGACCCAACTCACATGGTTGCTTTTGTGGGAAAAATAGTAGGAGGTTGGATACGTTTGACATTTTGACTTAAATAATAATAATAAACAATAATAAAATAAAAACAAATAAATAATAATAAAATTAATTGCATTGAAAATAAAATAATAAATAAATAATAAAGGTGGGATACAAATAAATAAAAAATTAACTTGAAATCAATAAAAGAAATGAATAAATGACCCTATTTTGACTAAAGAAAGACACAAAATCTTCCTCCTCTTCCTCCTCCTCCTCTTCTCCCTCCCTCCCTCCCTCCCTCTCTCTTCCTCTCTCTCTCATACACACACACACACACACACACAATTCTTGAGATGTTGTCTTCTCTCAAGGGCCATAGCGTAGCAGACTGATTACTTAACTAACTAGATTTAACATTTCACTTCCATCACTCTGCTAAAGAACTAATTTCCACAACATTGTCAAACTATTTACTAAGACTGTATTACTATTATTCTTCTCATCCTTCCAATTACTTATCTACTCCCATTTATGACTATTACCATGTTGCTTGTATCTTTATGATTTTTATTGTTTTATTTGTTTCCTAGTATGATCTTATGAGTCTTGATGAATGTATTTTTTTTTCTTTTTATATACACTGAAAGCATACGCACCAAAGACAAATTCCTTGTGTGTCCAATCACGCTTGGCTAGTGAAGAATTCATTCTATCATCCATCCATCCATCCATCCATCTATCTATCTAAAAATAATCTGAGCATGCCTCTTGTTGATTTCACAGTCAAGCAGGAAATCTTGTAGTATTTCTGTTTTTGCACATTTAAGAGTAAAGGTTTAAACACATTGTTTCCTTTAGTCAGAAACCAAACAAAAAAACAGACAAATGTACACAAAACCAAAACCAGAAGCCCTATCCTGCCAGTATTTTCCAGATTTTTTTCCCCTTTTTTTACAAAGCTTGGGGGCTTCTGTCATGTTTCAACAAGAGCCAACAAGAGTTTAGATTCACAATTTACAGCAGAAGCAGAAATCTCTGAGAGTCTTTGAAAAGGAACAAAAAGTTGAAGGTTCTTTTAACTTCGTTGTTGAAATTGTGGTTGAAAAGAATTACACAAAATGCCCTTCTAAATAGCACTTTCAGATCATAATGGTACAGTACAGTAAAAAGAATCCATTGAGAAGAATTTGAGAATAGTTCTTTCTGGTGGCATTTGGTTTTTAAAAACCCCATACCAGCAAAAACTATATCTGAGGCACCCTAAACACTGACCAATGGTCTATATCGTGCTAAATGGGAGTGAAGTTGTACTTTGACTGTCAGGATTTATTTCATATAGTGAAGCATTTAAAAGCTACAAATGCCAGTAGATGATTTTAGGGACTCTTTCCTTCTACCTTAATATTTTAGGATGATGTGCATGAGGCTTAAATCATCTATAAACAGTTTAAAAAACATTTAACCTGATTAATTGTTCATAAGAATCCCAGTGGGGTTTGGTTGATCATGAAGAGAAGCAAAATGTTGGATTAAAGTGGAATAGTAGACCTTGACCTGATCTAGCAGGGCTTATGTTTTTCTCATTGTTCTTTATTTGGCTGATTTAACCACTGCCTCCTATGAACTTTTCTCCTTGCCATGAGCCTTGTTTTTAGCATGAGGGTTTAATATGGCATGGGTGACTGGGTCAAGATGCTTATGCTTTTTACCCTTCTTGTTCTCATACAAGAAAGATGTGCTTTGGATGCAGCTTTTGAAAAATGCAAAATTCAACTTTGCCAAATTGAAATGTCTTTGATTATGAACATTTCAAGCTGAAAGGATTTGTGGAATTTTCATTATGGGGCCTACCTTTCCTTTTCAACTCTTGACCAAGTTCACTCTGCTGAACATAATCATATGCTATGTGTAAGACTTTAAAAGGCCAAACGAGACATAGTAGAGAGACAGTTGTGTGCAGTGGTTAAAGCATCAGGCTACAAACTGGGAGACCATAAGTTCTAGTCCTGCCACAAAGTCAGCTTGGTGACTTTGGGCCAAACACTTTCTCTCAGTCCTAGGAAAAAGTAAATGACAAACCATTTCTGAACTCTTGCCAAGAAAGCTGCAGGAACTTGTCCAAACATTAAGCATCAACCCCAACTTGAAGGCACAAACACACACACACACACACACTTGTGAGACCTAGTTGGTTTTGCTACACCAATCATGCAAATGCATGTATAGTGTTTTCTGCTTCATAAAAGGCATTGAAACTCCACAGTTATACATTTGACTGAATTTGGGTAACATAGTATTTAAGTACAGTAGTTCTATATATTTTCTTCTTCAGGGTCCAGAAGGAGTTGCTGCAGCTCTGGCTGCTTGTCAAATAGTACGACAGATGTCCCACTTGGAAACCAAAGCAGAAGTGGTGCACAGAATGAAAGAAGCAAAATATGAACAGCTTGCAGTGGGTAGGTAGATGCAGCCTGCCCAGAGATTCATGCCTGTACCGGTCACAGTCTGGCAGATTTCCCTTCTTACAATCAGGATTGGTATATTGGTATATGAAGACCCAAATTGTTGGGGGCAATATGCTGACTCTGTAAACCACTTAGAGGGGGCTATAAAGCACTATAAAGTGGTATATAAGTCTAAGTGCTCTTGCTATTGCTATATCAGTGCTCCAAATGGTATAACTCCTTAGATGGATGCTAAGGATTACAAGACAAGAATGTCAATGAATATCTTATTCTCAAACAAGAAACCTATATGGGGGTGTGGAGGTGTGGGGGTGTATGTATGTATGTATGTATGTATGTATGTATGTATGTATGTATTGGTCTCTCTCTCTCTCTCTCTTGCTCTGTCTCTCTTGCTCTGTCTCTCTTTCTGACCTGTCATGTTTCTTCAAAGCAGTGCTTCTATGTTCAATAAATGACTTTAAGATGATGGAGATGGCAAGTTCCAAAAACAATTTCCAGAAGACAATCTGGGGAGATTATTCCCTGTCTTCCACTCTAGCCTGCCATGATACATTCTATATCTTCATTTACCTTTATAATATTTTATTGGTTAGTAAGACTGTTGCTGAACAAAATAGCATGTTGTAGTCCTCAACCAGCTTTTCTTTTTTAAAGAATACAGGTAGTCCTCAACTTATCACTTCAACAAAGCCCAGAATTTCTGTTGTTAAGTCAGACACTTGTTAAGCAAATGTTACCCTTTCTTGCCACAGTTGTTAAGTGAATCACTTGTAAATGCATAAACAGCATTTGTTTATGCTAGCCATACAGTTGTTAAGTGAATCTGAGTTCCCCATTGACTTTGCTTATCAGAAAGTCCCAAAAGGTAATCCCATGACCCTGGGACACTGCAACCATAGTAAATATGGGACAGTTACCAAGCGGCTGAATTTTCATCACATGACCATTGGGGATGCTACAACAATTGTAAGTGCAAAAAATGGTCACTTTTTTTCAGTGCCGTTGTAAATTGAACGGTCACTAAACGAACTGTTGTAAGTTGAAGACTACCTGTATTTATTGAAGCCACATGTATTTAACCAGAAAACAACTTTTTAAAAATGAGCTGGGTGGGACATAGAATTGGGAAGAGAGTATGTTGTATACCCCTAGCTCATGGGTCTTCAAAACTTGACAGCTTTAAGACTTGTGGACTTCAACTCCCAGAATTCCTCCTCCAGTCATGTTAGCTCAGGAATTCTGGGAGTTGAAAGCCACAAGTCTTAAAGCTGTCAAGTTTGAAAACCCTTGCTCTAGCTGAAGCTATCCTGAGTCTCTATCTGTGGTTAGAGATCCAAGGAATGAAAACAGAAGCCTCACACAAAATAAGTACTATATCGCAAAGCCAAAGCAATAGCATCCCTTCCTAAGCAATGAAGACCTCAAAATTATGACATTCCACCCTGCCACACATTTATTGTGAAGTTGTGTGGAATTAGAGAGTTTATGTCATCACATCACAACACTCATTTCATCACTTGCCTGTTCTTGTGAAACCCTCCAAGGTGTTCGTTTGTATTTTATGGATCTGGCTTGAATGAGATCTTTTCACTTTCCTAAATAAGAGACAAACATGCCTCTTTCTCTTTTCTCTGGTCTAGCTGTTGTCCTCTCCCCTGCAATCTTTCTGCCCCTCAGTGAAAGTAAAGAAACCCCCTACTTTAAGATAAGCACCGTTTCCTCCTATTGTTCATTCTAGGTTTGGAATGCAAATATTTTGAGAACTTCCTTCTTTATAAAGTAAGAAGAATTGTGTGAAAATAGCATTTAAAAACAGACAAATCTCTCAATTACCAGGGAGGATACAGCTGAAGTTTGGATTTTAAAAATCACTGACTTCCTTTTTTTTACAAGTAGCTTCTATATTTTACAAGCTTGTGGGATCCAGAAATGAAATGAAAAATCTTCAACAGCTTTATTTTATTTCTTTATATGAGCAGCTGCTCCAAGATTTTTCTGTAGAAGAATATTTGTATGAGACCATCCAGATAGTGAAAGAATTCTAGAAGGGGAATTGTGGAGTTGGGCCAGTTTCCAGCAGCCACTAGTCTTGACTAAAATTTGTTCCATTTCAAACTAAATGTTGCAGTGAAACTGAGGTGGGTCATTGGTGTTTTCAAAGGGATACAGAAAATGGGCCAAAATAATTCTCCAGGATCTATGAGTGGTTTTCTTTGTTTTTAACTATGGCGTCTCTTTCTGCATAGTCTGTATCGGGTCCACAATCTCTGGGCCTTGGTCTGCAGCCTGTTGGGAACTGGGTAACACAAACAGCAGAGAAGACAGGGGTGGGATTCTACCAGTTCACACCTATTCGCTAGAACCGGTTGTTAACATTCTAAGCTGTTCGGAGAACCGGTTGTTAGAAGAAATTACTGGCCTAATCCTGTAAGGAAGGCAGGAAGGAAACATTCTGGTGTTGCTTACAGAAACTGCTTCTCTGTTAACCCTGATTACATTCTTGGCAGGACTAGACTTCCTGTCTCAGGAACTTCTTTGGAGTTTTTCCTCCCTCCTTTGCTGGTACTTTGCTTGTGTGCAATGACCATTCAAAGTTAAAATGGCACTGAAAAAAGTGACTTATGACCATTTTTCACACTTACGACTGTTACAGCATCCCCACAGTCATGAGAGGCCAGGCGAGGAGATGCGTGCCTCGATGTGAGTGATACTGAGTTGGCCACACCCAGCCAATAACATGACCACCAAGCCACGCCCACCCAGTCACATGACCACCAAGCCATGCCTACCACCTAAGCCACACCCATAGAACCAGTTGTTAAAAGTTTGAATCCCACCCCTGAGAGAAGCGAGCAAAACTTTATCTGGCATGCGTGGGATCTAAGTTGCACATGAAACTATTCCCCCCGTGGAAAAATTGTCTTCCACAAAATCGGTCCCTGGTGCCAGAATGGTTGGGGACCACTGGTTGAAATGAAGTGGAATCAGAGGCTGGATTAGATGACTATTAAGATCTCCTTTACAATAGTAAATACTGTACATTCCAAAGGGAAACACAGTTATTTTTATTCCAAAGGGAAACATGGTTATTTATTCTGTCCAGCCCCATTATCCCAATAAATGTAAAGCAAAAAAAAAGTATACAATGTGTTTACAAATATGTATATATTTACTATATATGTTTTACTTTTTTGCTTTACATTTATTGGGATAATAGGAGGAAATAAAATTAATGTGCTTTGATTATCTTGATTGCCTTTTCATGGGCTTCATTTTTAGCATTAATTCTGTAATCTGAGCCCAGTTATCTGGGGAGAAAGCCTTAAAATAATTAGAAGCAGGAGGTTTGTAATGGATCTTGGCATTTTAGAACCACTTATAGTAGAAATGAAAGATTTCTGTGCCAGGGCAGTATATGAAAGGGCATAAATGGACTCTGTAATTTTGTCTAGATCAACATCTCTACTTAAAACACGTGTAGCTGGATTCAAATCATAGTCCTTATACCTCATTCTGTTTACTTGATCTTCATCTTTACTTTTTGCTTTGGCAGAATTGTTCAGCGAATGCTACCATGACAGTGAAGAGCGAGCTTTTGATTTGCTGGTGAGGAAGAATCGATATTGGAGCAAAACAACTTGTCTCCACTTGGCCACAGAAGCAGATGCCAAGTACTTTTTTGCACATGATGGGGTCCAAGTGAGTACCCTTCAAGGTGTCCCTCTCTTGAAGGTGTTGGATAATCCACAATTCAGAAAAAAAAGAAGATAACATTGTTATGCTTGTACCAGTGGTGGGATCCAAACTTTTTTTTACTACCGGTTCTGTGGGTGTGGCTTGTTGGGCATGGCAGGGGCAGGATACTGTAAAATCTCCAGTCAGAGGTGGTATTTGCCAATTCTCTGAACTACTCCAAATTTCCGCTACTGGTTCTCCAGAACTGGTCAAAACCTGCTGAATACTACCTCTGGCTTGTGCCCAGATCTGACTTATGTTCACTCACTTGTGCATAGGGATCCTGTAGAGGCACAGGAATCTTACAACCTCCCCACCTTGCCTCTACCTGGATTTTTCAAATAGGTGCAGCAAGAGGGTATGAAATATAAAACCTGGTCAACAACCAGGAAACTGATTAGAAATGCATGCAAATCACTTTCAATCGAGCATTGAAGCATGTAAAATCTGATGGAATATACAGAGACCTGATGAACTCAAATATTTACTGGTTACAATGTACATTTTCTCTTTCACTGCTCATTCCCACTAATCCACCTCCTTTTCAATTAGGTTACCCAGGGTTAGGGATAGAAGCCATCAAGTCCAGACCTAGAAAAACTCAAGAGTGGATGGGCTTCAGGACCCCTTTTATCTCCCCAAGCCCTTGCTTTGATGATTCACGAGTCTGGTAGCTGCCAATGGGAGTCAGGGTGATAGTGGTTCAGCATCCAACTTTTTTTGTCCATCTTCTGAAGACATTCTTCCTTTGATCCTTAACAACTTGATTCTTTCATATCTACCACCTGAAGTGACCTTTTCCTTTCATCCTCTCTCTACACATGTCTCCTCTATTTTTAAGTTACAGCCACTTCGACCTACTCTCACATTCTCACATATCTTCCTCTGAACAGTGGAATCAGATATTAGAGGGGCTTGCAGATCATTTTTTCAGAATTATTAAAGTCATATATTATACTCAGTCGGAAGCGAGCCCTGATATGACAGTAATACCACTGTTTTCTTAAAATAAGAACATACTCTTTCCACCCTATAATACCTAAGAATAGAAACAATAATTGATAAAATATTCTCATTGGAATGTAAGAGATAATGTAATTCAGCATTGTGAAAAAATGATAACTACTGTACCCGATCTATCTTTACATCTAGAGCAGGGGTGACAAACACACATCATCATGGCAGCATCACATGATGTATTGCAACTTTTTCCCCCTTCGATAAACCAGGTGTGGCCATGGCCAGCCTGTGGGCAGCGAGTTTGACAGCCCTGATCTATAGCTTCATTCAATGACTGACTGTTTCCTCAGTTATATTAACAATGAACTCATATTAACAATGAAGATTGTCCTTTGTTAATAACAGGGTGGGAGGGATTATACAGGTTCGCACCTATTCGCTAGAACTGGTTGTTAATATTCTAAGCAGTTCAGAGAACCGGTTGGTAGAAGAAATTACTGGTCTAATTCTGTAAGGAAGGCAGGAAGGAAACATTCTGGTGTTGCTTACAGAAACTGCCTCTCTGTTAACCCTTATTACATTCTTGGCAGGACTAGACTTCCTGTCTCTGGAACTTCTCTGGAGGTTTTTTCCCCTCCTTTGTTGGTACTTTGCTTGTGTTGAGTGACCATTCAAAGTTACAATAGCACTGAAAAAAGTGACATGACCATTTTTCACACTTACGACTGTTGCAACATCCCCACAGTCATGAGAGGCCAGGTGAAGAGATGCGTGCCTCAATGTGAGTGATGATGAGTTAGTCACACCCAGCCAGTCACATGTCCACCAAGCCACGCCCACCAACTAAACCACGCCCATAGAACCGGTTGTTTAAAAATTTGAATCCCACCCCTGGCTAATAAGTTCCATAAATAAACAAGAGCGTTATTCTGAGTTGTCAGCTCATCAAGAATCCTAAGGTAGCCTGCAAGAAATTAAAGCATTATAGACACTAATGAGAGATGTTCTTGCGGACATATGTAAGAACCATTACTTAGAGAAAGAGGGCTGGAACACCCTTGAGGTCCTGGCAAGCAAGATAATATTAAGAAGTGACTGAGGCAAACACACACACCCCCTCCCCAGTTTCCTGAGATAAAAGAAGGAAGGGAAGAAAAGCACAACTGGAGTTGCAAGATTCTATAGTGGCCTATCTCTGTAGAGTTTTAGTCTTCCTGAGAAGTTGATTTTCTAATTTCATCTAGTGGGGCTGACAAACACATATAGTGAATGTTTAAGTGCAATGCATTGAAGATTTTACAAATTACAAAGCTGTAGATACAAAGCAACAGAAAAGCTATTTCAAGACTCCAACAGCAGCAAGACCATTTTATTTTATTGTTTTATTTTAGACATTTCATTTTAAAAAGTTATTTATAAAGCCACCCACCTCACCACTTTAAAAAAATTCTACCTAAAGGGACTCTGCAAATCAGTGAAATGGGTGTTCCTGTACAGTAAGAATGGGCAGCCCTAGTATACATGTCATGCCCAATGCCACTTTTTGCCATCCAAAATTGTGTCATCCAAAGTTAGCATTATGTTGCAAGTTACAGTAGCTTCATTTTTTGCCTTTTAAAAGGAAGAACCGATAAAATAGGTACAAGAATATCTAAAAATAAGAAATATTTTTGTAAGCCAGAGTCAATGAGAGTGAGTAGACAGACATATACATTTTCTTAAATAATAGAAAATAAACAAAATAAAAATAAGACCCTCAGAAGCTGAAAAAAAAGAAAAGAAAGGATAGTCCTCAACTTCAAACAAAAGAAGTCTGATTCTTCTAAATAAATAGCTTCATAGAGATAATGCAGGACTGGCTAGCTTCAAGAGTTAGTTTTAGAGGAAACAGCTGGCTACGAAATAAATGTCTTGTTTTCCTTCAAAACTATTCGTACTCATTCCAGAATTGTCCTGAAGTTTTTGTGGTGAGGAACCTATGAGATAGGTGAAAAGTTGAAAAACACATTTACATCGAATAGCTTTAGGCTCTTGAGTTTAAGAAAAGAGCCAAGCATTATGATTTACTCTGTTTTCTTTTTTTATTATAATTTTTATTGAACAAAGTAAAATGCATTTGTGTATCATTTGTGGGAGTCCTTGGTACTTTCTGAAATTGGTTGCTTGCTTGCAGACATTTTATTACCCAACTAAGTAGTATCATTCATGCTAGTGAGTGTGGATTTTGATCCCTGTTTAAAAGCAGTAGTACGCCCTGCCATTGTTGATATGGTGTAGTTTCCTCCTTGATAATTTCTTGATCAGGGTATTATTTTCTGCTCAATTGCTTGTCTCGTGTAATCCCTGCTAATTTTGGTATTGGCTGCTATTATTGGCTGTGTTCTGGTCCTTTTGTTTCCTTCTTAGCCTTTTGATTGTACTATTATATCATTGGTTTTTCACATCTATCTTCTCTAAATTTCAGGCATTTCTCACAAAAATTTGGTGGGGAGATATGTCAACATCCACCCCAATTTTGAATCTGATCTGTGGATTTGGGTGCCCTTTACTGATTTACACCAACTTGATTTCATTCAGGTATGAACCATAGATTCTTTTGCACCAAGAGGAAGAAAAAAAAATGAATGCAAGCATATTGATTGTAATGGCATGTGGGAATGGCTTTGGGAAACAGGAGACAGGAGGAAGCGCCACATCCTAGATAACAGTCTGAAAAATGAAATTTGAGTCTGAAGAAGGAAGGGTAGTAAAAGGGTCTCAGGAAGGACCCTCCCTAGTTTCCAGGAGAGTAAAAATGTGAGACCCTAATCCTAACCCGAACCCTTGAGACTTGCAAGATTGTTAACATAACCTTACAATAAAGATACAGCTGGTACTCCTGGTTGTGTTTCTTATCAGGGCTATTTCACCAGTTTAACAGTGACCTGCAAATACTGAAATGGCAATAGAATATGTTCCTTCTGTATCCTGGAAGCAAAATATTCTACTTTCTCCATTTAAAACATGTTTATAGAGACAATTTTTCTCTTTATACCTGAAATTAGAATATATTTCAAACAATATACTCAACCCAGATATTTTTTTAAAAAACAACAACAACATCATGGTACTGGAGAAAGCAAACTCTCTTGTCACTCACAATCTTTATCCCTCTGTTCCTGACTTCTGCTCTCTCTTTAAAGATGAACTTATTAAGACCAAGACATGAGTGAAGAAAATTAGAACTTTGAGGACAGTAATAGTTCCAAAAGATCATGAGAACATTTTGTCCAGGTGAATGACTAATGCAAGAGTTCAGCCCTGCAGTATCTGATTGGCATTGGAAGGGGAACAGCTTGGAGAATCTAGAGCTGGGTGAGAAATACCCAGTGAGAAATACCAGATTCAGATTACTTGGAAATAAACAAAACTATTTCTTAGTCATTTGGAAATACAGTAATTCTTTTATGACTGAGTCATGTCCATACTGGCAGGAATAGGGATTATTTGATCTTTATGATAGATAGAACTAGACACAAAAACAGTTTTTTCCTGAACGCCATCACTTTGCTAAACAAATAATTCCCTCAACACTGCCAAACTATTTACTAAGTCTGCATTACGATTACTATTAATCCTCCCATCCTTTCTTTCACCCATCTCCTCCCACTTATGACTGTATGACTGTAACCTTGTTGCTTGTATCCTAACGATTTTTATTGACTGTTTTCTAGTATTATTTGATTGCATATTGCATAGTACTGTATCTTATGATTCTTGACTCATGATGAATGTATCTTTTCTTTTATGTACACTGAGAGCATCTGCACCAAGACAAATTCCTTGTGTATCCAATCACACTTGGCCAATAAAGAATTCTATTCTATAAATGGGTAGTGAATTTCTTCCTAGAATTCCAGATGCAATCAGAAAGAAAGTTCCTGTTTTAATTTCTGCGTATTATGCTGTTGTTTTACTTCTTGCTAGGGAGGAAACAAATGGTCAAAGATAGTTCAGAATGACAAGTTTCTTATTTCTCTGTGACTGGAGTATGCAATTATGTTCCTGGCACCAGGGTAATCAAAGTGATGTTCCTTTTCAGATTCCCTTCTCACTGTTTTTAATCAGGGGAAAAATATCATATACTTTTATTAAATTATTTGAGATTCTTTATATTGTTACCTATTATAATGCTATGAACAAGTGTTCACATTTTCAGAATTCTAGCCAGCAAAACATTATGTCCTCTCAAGGTTTAGAACAATATTATTCCCAGGACATGGCACCTTAGCCTATTATAAAATCCATATTCAGAAGTGATTGCATTTTACAAGATCTCTCCATTACAGCAGGTTTTCATTATTCCAGTATTGTATTCTTCTTTGAAACTAAGCATTCCAACTGCCATACTTGGCTTTCTATGATACTTATTAATTTATAAATCAAATGTTGATTTATAGGCTGCTCAACTCATAGTGATTTTGGGTGGCATATTTGCATAGAAACTTTTATACATGACATTTCTTTGCAAATGTCTTTGAGGTACAGACACTCCCTAATGACCTTTTAATATATTTAATTTGCTATTGTATTTTAAGCTGTCTTTCCATCCAATTTCCCCTCTACTGCATTTGGATGGTGCATAAATGTAGACATAGAAGTACACTTTCCTTTCAGTTCCAAGGGATTCTAAGTTGGGCTCTGTCTGAATTCTGCTTTTCCCATCTGTCAATTTTAAAATAAATTTGCTACGGAAGTGATAAAGTCAAGGGATTAAGTTTCCATGCATCACTTTTCTGAGTATGTAAGCTTAAAGACCACTAGGAGCAATACATGTCGAGATAAGTAGCAGAGTGACTTCATCCTTTCATCTGCTTTTCTTGTCCCAAAGACTTAGAATTTTGCCTTTATCTATGTAACAAGCTTTAAACTTTCATCACTTCCATCCTCTCTCAGTTTAGTTGTCTCTTTCGATGCATGCAGTTTAGGATCTCACTTGATTTACTTTATCTCCATTATGGAGGACATGCTACTGGGTCTGATAGATTTGTGCAACTTACCGTATTTGCCGGCGTATAAGATGACTTTTTTGCCCTGAAAAACATGCCTCCAATTGGGGGGGTCGTCTTATACGCCGGGTCATCTTATACGCCGGCAAATAGTAATTGGGAAGCACTGCGGCTGCCCGCGGCTGAGGCACTTTTGCGCACCGTGGAAACGAATCCCGTGAAGCCGAAAGGAGCAGCCAGCCTTCTCCCAGCTCCCAAGGAAACGAGGCTCGCACCGCCCGAGCTCCGCTGAGGTATCCGGCTGGGGCTGTCAGGAGTTGTTACCGCTGGCGCGGCTCCGTGCAGCTCCAGTCCCGCATTGCCTCGGGAAGGGAAAGGCAAAACCAGGAGCCGCTGCTGCCATTGCAAAGCGCCGCCGCGGCTCTTCCTTTTTGCCTTTCCCTTCCCGAGGCAACGCGGGACTGGAGCCGCGTGGAGCTGCGCCAGCGGTAACAACTCCTGACAGCCCCAGCCGGATACCTCAGCGGAGCTCGGGCGGTGCGAGCCTCGTTTCCTTGGGAGCTGGGAGAAGGCTGGCTGCTCCTTTCGGCTTCACGGGATTCGTTTCCACGGTGCACAAAAGTGCCTCAAAAAAAAAAAGTGCAAAAGTGGAAGGCGTGCGGAAGAGGGGGCGAGTATATAACAAACTATATTTTGAGTGGAAATGTTGGGGGGTCGTCTTATACGCCGGGTCGCCTTATACGCCGGCATATACGGTAGGCTTTCCTATCATAATGTTATTTCTTAAAGCAAACTCAGTTTGTTTTCATGAAAGAACCAGCCTCAAGAATGATCTCTAATACTGACCTTATTCGTAACTTCTCTCACTGAACATCCTTTTCATTGTATGAAACTTTTCGCTATTCCACAAAAGTTATTTGACCCAGAGCAGAAAGAGGTTTAAAGATTAGATAGAGAATTGAAATAAAAAAATTCTAAAAGAAGGTTTATTGGTGTACAGAGCTTATTGGTATGTAAGTAGTCAGAAGTGCTATCTATCATCCAGCAAGTAGAGCTGATTATTACATTGATGTAGAAGGTAGTTCCTAGAATGAAAAAGGGTAGCAAATGTACTGGAAGAGCTAAGAAAAACAGAAACTAGGAAATAGCAAGAAGAATGAAAGTTTGCAAACAGAAAAAACTTGTGACATTTAGCCCTGAATATTCTTTCTGGAAAGTTCTGGAATGTTCTCTCTCTCTCTCTCTCTTTCTCTCTCTCTCTCTCTCTCTCTGTATGGTATTCAGTTTTGTTCGGGTAATTTCCCACGTCATTATAGTTGTGCTTTTAAAGTTGTAGCAACGTTTCGGCAGAATCTCATCTGCCATCATCAGGCTTCTGTATAGTGTTCATTCAGCTTTGTTCGGGTATTTTCCCACGTCATTGTAGTTGTGCTTTTAAAAATGTAGCAATGTTTCGGCAGAATCTCATCTGCCATCATCAGGCTTCTGTATAGTGTTCATCTCTATAGTGTTCATGATGAACACTATACAGAAGCTTGATGATGGCAGATGAGATTCTGCCGAAACGTTGCTACTTTAAAAGCACAACTACAATGACGTGGGAAAATACCCGAACAAAGCTGAATACTATACATACATACATACATACATACATACATATATATATATATATATATATATATATATATGCATTATATAGTAATTAGGGAGATGGTATATCAAGGTAGATTGAAGGTGGCTGGCTCGAATTAATAATCAGAGGGGACAATTTTGAATTAAATTAAGGATTGATAAAATTGCAAATATGACAGATAAAGGTAATTTGGGAAATGAATATAGAAATGAGATGAGAATTTCAAATAACATTGTAAAATAAGATATGAGAATACTCTAATGAATGAAATAAGTTACAGTATGAATTGGAATTGGATAAGTTTAATACTTAATACTAATAAGGTTAATGTGATATGAAATTGAACAAACAAAATGAATAGGTAAATATGTTTGTATTGAATTGAAACCTGGAACCATACTGCTTGCCAAATGAGATTTTTTTTATTTAAAAAAAAAAATTAAGGAGGAAATTGAATAATGAAATTATTAGGTACGTCTAACTGATATGGTGGTTGGCATTAGGAGAGAGTATTGAAAAGTTGAAAATAAGCAAGGAAGGATTTGGACTTAATATGAATGTGGATATTAAGAGATTATTAAGCTTGCTTATACTAAAATGTATGATATATTGATGCCACACAGTTAATGTATTGTTGTGTATGTGTAGATTGAAATAAAAAACTTTTATTAAAAAAAAAGAAAGACTAGATGTAACATGGCCAGAAGTAATTGAAGTAGGCTTACTTCTTAAGAGTTTGCCTCTAGAACAGGGCTGTCAAACTTACAGATTGCAGGCTGGATGCATCACGTGCTGGCCACGCCCATGCCAGGTTTAGTGAAGGGGGAAAAAAGTCATGATACATCACATGATGTTGCCATGACAATGCGAGTTTGACACCCCTGCTGTAGAATATGAGAATCTTAGTCTTCTTCAAATTAAATCAAACTTACACTAAGTTTTGTTCAAAAACATTTGCTAGAATATAATCGGAGCAATCAAAGGAGGCAGTAGAATTGAAAGGAGAAGCATTCAAACTATCAGGCAGCAGAAAATGCTGCTCTTCTATTTCTAATTGATGATGTGGTCATAGCTGCTTTTGGCATTAGTATTTGTCCATTCAAAAATAAGTAGGAATGGACTTGATAAGTTACTCTGATCTGTGCTTCTAGCAGTAGTGGGATTCAATTTTTTTTTACTACTGGTTCTGTGGGTGTGGCTTGGTGGGCGTGGCAGGGGAAGGATACTGTAAAATGTCCAGGCAGAGGTGGTATTTGCTGGTTCTCTGAACTACTCAAAATTTCACCTACTGGTTCTCCAGAACTGGTCAGAACCTGCTGAATACCACCTCTGGCTTCTAGCATCCAAAATAATTCATGCACTGACAGATCTGGCCACAATGCCTGCTCTTCATAGTATAAAGGTCAACTACAGTGGTTCTTCTCTTCTCTTCCTGCAGGGTGCAGCTGCAATGTATTTGTGCAATTGTTGAATGTATGTCCTGTCTTCCTTATTTGTAGGGGTAATCAAAGCAGTTTACCATCCATAAAATCAGTGCAATGAAAAATTGAAATCAATTTGAATAAAATACCATTAAAACAATAGGGAAAAGCTTGATGATAGATATGCATTTTTGCCATTTTGCTTCAGTCTCGGGCAGAGGAAAACCAAACACATTTCTTTGTGTATGTGTGTATGGGTTTTTTTTTCTATATTCCACAACCGCATCACTTCGGCCTTTCAGGGTTTTACCTTTGGCTTTCTTGCTCAGCTGTCTTGTTTCTTCTTCTTTCCCTAAATAACTAGAGCTTTCACCCATTAGGACCTCAAAGCTATTTCTGTCTTCCTTTGTTTCTTTTTCTTTAAATGGAGAGCTGCTTCCTGTGTTGCTTTTGCTATAATGCCTCTTTTCTTTAGTTTTGAGCTCCAGGGTGGCCACTTACTACTACTACTTTTTTTTACTTCAAACTACTTACTACTACTACTTTTTTTTACTACAAATCTGTACTGACAAATTTGTAGCCAGACTTCAGAGTTCAGAGATGCCACAGGCACCACAGGACATGTCTATTCACTTCCCTTTTGTTTCTAAAGGCACCACTGACAGAAAGCTTTTTTATATATTCTATTTGGAGTGATGTATCAGCACCTGATTTGAACTTGTCTCAGAAAGAATGTGCGTCTCTTGTATAGAAACCTGCCTGTCCCTGCATCTTATGAAGCTCAGGTTCATTTTGTTCACATCTTGAGAACTTTCGTCTTCTCTTGGGCTAACTAACCTTGTGCATAAAATGGTATCCTTCAAGAGGGAGCATCCATAGGGTTGGAGACATCCAAATAAGCAAGATGGCACAAATTTTGGCTCTTGCTAATGCCACTGTTTTAAGGGGGAAAATACCCCTATCTTAAGATAATTGCTTCGAGCTTCCATACCTCACAATCTAAATTGTACTTCCGGAACTTCACAACTGTTCTTTTCCCCAACTCTAAAGTCCATTGGGCAAAAAGTATACCATAACTGCCTGCTTCACATGTATATTTTCCACCAGGCTATTTAGATGCAATATGATCTGTGTAGATTTATTTGAATTACATATTAAAAATCTCAGAAGGATGATTCTGCTAGTTTTAATTTGGATTTGTCATTTATGCTGAGGTAAATTTTGTTTTTAATTTTATGCTGAGGTAAATTTTAATCAGATCAATTCTTACATTTTTGTAATGTTTTGTAATATACTGTAGTTACTCTTGTGTGTATTATTTTAAAGCATGGCTCAAAAACGTGCAAAGAGAGTATCTGTTGCTGTAAGTTTTTTGTAATAATCTCAAAAATGAAAATTGTATTGTCCCTTCAACTGTGAAAAAACAAATTTGTTTTCAATATCATTAAGCATAAAAACTATTTCTTTGCAGTGAGGAGACACAGTCTGTGGAGGATTCAGAGTCATTCAAAGATCTTGACAGTCTTGATACAGAAAGGACTTTGCTGTCCTACACAAAAACGAAGTAAGGTTACATACATGGCTCTAGAAATATTTTTTAAATATTTTTTAAATATTTTTGCATTTATTAATTGTAATTGCTATGACCATCCAACCATGTTAAATATACTGTAGAGTATAATCTAAAATTGATGAAGGATGTACTTTTCTTTACAATGTCGAAGCTATACTTTACCAGACATTTGAATCCCTTAATTTGTTATTTTTAACTGTTATGTTTAACAGTTGTTTTTATGAGTATGAAAATCCACCTGCACAAATGCTGCAGAATGCAGAGAAAAGAACAGCATGTCAGGGCCCTTCCACAAGTCGCAACTGTGCAGCTTTTCCTTTTGCATATATTGAAATGTTTCATGGGGCAGTAGGTCTTTATCATTACGTCTTTAGAAGCTAGAACTGTATGCCTTTTTTGTCTATGGACATACTCAGTCATCCAGGTCATGGTTATCCTGAAGGTGCTTTTTCAAAAGGCAATTGGAGTTTTTTTTTGTTTTACTTGAAGATGTTTCACTTCTTATCCAAGAATCTTCTTCAGTTCTGACTGAATGCCTTTTTGCAGAAATCTATTTGCAGAGATATAGAAAAAATTTTTTTAGTTAAACGAAGCAGCCTTATTAATGCTTTCCTCCAAACAGAACAATAGCAAAATTATGGTTATAGATGGTTATAGGTGTGTTACTTAAATATAAATAGCAAGCTCTAAATCCAATATGTTGGGAAGTTTGGATCCATTAAGTACAAAGAGATGGGTTGTGTTTTTTTTAATATGCTGAAAAAAAAGCCAAACTCTAATAGACACTAAGGCAGCTTGAGGTCTGCTTCCTCCACTGTTTCTTTAATGATGAATTTTAATACAATATCCACACTGACCATATTTGCTTCTGATATTCCTGCAGTGAAATTATTACTGCGGTTTTTTAATATTAGTTTGTTGTTTGGGGAATGGTTGGGATGAGCACTCATATCAAATGTATATATAACCTCACTGCAGACTTGCTCACCCAGAGCTCAAAAGAATTGCTCTTTTTATAATGGCTACATTTAATGTTTAATAAAAGTGCCAGGGGAAATTTAAAAACTGCAGTAGGAGTCAGTTCCATTGAGCTTCATTCTAAAGCTTTCTCTCTATACACATCCTTCTCCTTAGAATCAGCTCCTAGTTTTCATTACCATTCACCATCAGTTACATTGTGAATATAAATTCACACTGTGAACAGCAATATAAATATAAAATAATCAAAAGAGATGCTATATCAGATGAAATCCATCAGAAGCCTCATTACAAGGTCTTAATGAAAGTATGCTATCATAGTGTCCTCTCTTAATTTTAATCGAACACACAATAAATTATGAAATATGAATAACTGTATGTTTAAAAAGCTACACTATTTTGCTAGTTGAATCAAATCTTGTCCTCAAATTCCAAAGTAGTTTTTTTCCTTATCTTGTAAGATAAGAAAAAAACAGTGGTCTCCAAGTCACAAGAAATTTAATCAAAGTATTGTCTCTAAACAAGGCGGTCATTCTGCTATAGCTCTATTAATTTCAAAGTCCATTGACTTTCCATTGTTGGTATTATTTGGATATTCATTCAACCTATAGAGGCTTCTTTCCTCAACCCTGGATGCTCTGGTATCAGAGTGCTAATGTCAATTAAGACAAAGAAGTGTGAATCTCTTTCACAAACTCGACCCTGTGCCTGTCAACTCAAAAGAAAGCTATGTTGCATTCAAGGAGAGTTATTCTGGAGTATTTTAAATAGATTTCCAGGGTTCAAATGCTATTGTGCCGCCCACTACCTAAGTTTTCATTAAATGAGCTATTGTCAGCCTTCCTAGGTAGATGGACAGCAAACACAAGCATCTGAGATAATTCTAATTTATTGTAAGTCTATGTTAACAGAATTTTACAAGTCCGAAAGTACAGATATCCTATAGTCACTTTTTGTAGCCCGATAGGTTAGGAAGGATCCATTCTGAGGTGCTTTCTCTGCCCATTATGCAGCTGTCCTCCCCCCTTATCTGACCTCGGGAGCATCTTTCTTTACCTTTTCCCACCTCCCATGAAATATCATTTCAAATAGCATTACATCTATTCACATATTTAGATGTTTGTTATCATAAATCTGGTTATGCTTGCTCATACATTATCACAAATGCAGATTAGAAATGCTGTTTAGATGTAAATATCTTTTCAATTCATTAAGGGTCACTTTAGAGAGAATGTGATGCCACCACTACGGTATTCAGATATGTAAATTTGACTTGCAGTGAGATTTGCACTCATCAGTTCTTTTGATGCTGTTTGCTATTGCTAATAGATGGACCCTAGGAACTCATTCCTGAAACATTATGAACTTGTACCGAAATGATCTGAATCCCAGGGGAAAAAAGATTGGGTATCTGTTGATCAACTTACCATTGGAATCAATGAGAGCAATCTAATTCATATCAATGAAGTTAAGATATCATTGGTTGTCATTATTAAAAAGATGCATTAAGTATCCCGGTATTTTGATAAGGTGGAGAATAAATCTATTTAAATATAGCAATTATAATTGAATTGGGGAGAAAACTTAACTGGATGCAGTTGCTTAATTTTTATGGAAGAATTTGGGGAAAATAGACTGATCAACATCTCTGTAAAGCCAGTCTGAGCCTTTGGCAGATTCATGTCAAGAAATGCATTGCTATGGGTTTGTTCTTTCACTTTTGCAGGACTGATGCCAGATTAGAAGCAGAACCTGCCTCTGGGAATATTGTCTATGTGACATTTATGTTTACACGCTGGAAAAAATTCTGGACTGCTCCTATTACAGTTTTTATGGGGAACGTTGTTATGTATTTTGCTTTTCTCTTTCTATTTGCCTATATCCTCTTAGTGGATTTTAAACCTCCACCTAAAGGTCCCGCTACAAAGGAGAACATACTCTACTTCTGGGTCTTTACATTAGTCTTGGAAGAAATCAGACAGGTGGGTGATTTACTCTGTGCTGTCTGCTGTGTTGCTAAATTTATCAGGTCACTGGACCTCTCTAAACCAGAACATGGCAGGAAAAGCAAGAAGAAAAAACTAGCATTTTACTATAGATACTAGCATCCTGATCCAGACTGGAGTTTCTATGCTGAAAGATTTATACAGCCAAGAGGAAAGAATGGGTCTTTCTAGATTATTAATGGCTTCAGGAAGTAGAAATCTGCAAGTGGTTGATAAGAATAAATTATTGCATTAGTTCAACTATTTCATATCCTTTCCTCTTCCTCCCCTTTGAAGAGAAACTGCATATATCTGCATTTTTCAGCTGCAGATATGCAAAAAGTCCTGAACTACGGTCAATATTGATTGAATTCATTACATTTTGGCACAGGAAAAACTGAATGGGATTTAGGACATTGCTGCAAACAAAGTCAGCAAGAAAGATCCCATGCAAATAACTAGCTTAGTCCATGCTGAGTTTTAAAATTAAGCAGTTATTCCATCGCAACTGTGAGAATCTGGTAGCTTCAGTGATGAATTGCTCCTGGGTTTGTTATTACAAATAAAGACTCACAAGTATTTCCATGATGTGTCACACTAGAGTATGAAGACTTTTGTCAGAATGCAAGCACATTAAAGAGGTAGAGTCCCACTCTCCCACAAAAGTCTCCTATAACCACAAAGTCTAATAAAGTGTTGTATAATGTATAGTTCAGAATCAATGAATTAATTTTCAGGTTTCATAGATTCCATCTTGGGAAGCTAAGTATAGGTTGGAATGAACAACATGGCTATGTCAAGTGGATCATCTAAGCCTATAAAAATAATTTTCCAAGCAGTGGGATGCTCAGGAATGAAAGACCTTTTAGTTATTCAGATGCATATAGGAAGCCTAGGAAAAAAGTGATCCTTATTTGCAATTGTCATATATTTCATACTCAATTTTGAACTGTTGAACTGTTGAACTGTTGATGAGGAAATGAAAGTGTTAAGATAATAGCTTTTAACTTGCAGAGTTTCTTTGTGGATGGAGGCATGAATCTAATAAAAAAATTCAAGCTCTACGTAGAAGATAATTGGAACAAGTGTGATATGTTGGCGATTTCCTTGTTCATCACTGGAATCACTTGCAGGTATGTGGATTCATATGTTTCTCCCCCCTCCCTTTTTTAAAAAAAAGTATGATATTACAGGTAGCAAGAGAAGAGATGATACAGTGCTGAGAAAAAAAATCCTAAAAGGCACAAAGTGGCCAAGCATGGGAGATAACTACCATAAGTGGACCCAAAGGTCCTTTTTCAAGAGGCAACTGGACTTTATGGTTTTTCTTTGAAGACATTTTGCTTCTCATCAAAGAAGCTTCTTCAGCTCTAAAGAAGAAACATCTTCTAGTTGTCTCTTGAAAAAGGATCTTTGGGACAAACATGACCTGGATGACCATAGACATTAAGTGAAAATTATGAAAAGATCCCTAGTTCAGAATCAGAAATGTTTTGGGGGAAAACAAGGAATAACTATTCAGTTCTTGTAAAATTCAGAGAATACCTGGAAAATTTCAATCAATGCAAAACATTAACAGCAGAGCTATTGCTGTTAATATAGGTAGATGACTGCTTGTTCTTATTGGTATAGTCTTTTTCAGGGCCATCAAGGCTATTTGTTATTAATTAGCTGTATTTCTTTGAGTTTTTAATCTAGCCAGAGTCACTGTTATGCAAGATGGACTGCCATATAAATGGAATAAATAAACACATAAACAAATATCTAAATGGTGAAAAATATTTTTTTTATCATGCCTGAAAAACCAGCATTGGTTGCTAATTGCTTTCTGGGCACCTAGTGATTTGTCATGATCTTGGATCAGATTAGCTGAAGAGACTTCTATAAGCATTCCCCCAATTTCAGAGACTATTCCTTGGGAATATAAAGAGAGCATTATTTGCAAGCTATGGCGCATAGAGGTCTGTAGAGATTCTCAGTATGGCTCATAGACTTTTGGAAACATAAATTTACACCTGTATTTAGAAAAGAATGTAGTTTGAGCTGATTTAGTCTCATATTAATAGTTATGTGTTCGTGTTTTAATTGTGCCTTCTTGTTGTGTTCCTATTTTATTTTACTTTATTTTTGAACCTTTTTCACAATAACTGCCTTAATCCCTCTTATTAGGGTAGAAAGGGAAGGCAAGGGATAAATTAAATATCAATACAAGAATGTTTCTTCACCCTCCAGAATGTTTAACTCAACCTTTCACGATGGTCGAACGGTACTCGCAATTGATTTTATGGTGTTCACTCTGAGACTGATTCATATTTTTGCCATTCATAAACAATTGGGCCCAAAGATTATCATTGTGGAAAGAATGGTAAGTGCAACATTGCAGAAAGAAATGAAAATAAATGGGCTGGACCTGGTTTTCAATCCAGCAGGCTCAGGGGAAATTATACTATTAATTTCAAATGTCTAAGTTTCATTACATCCACCCCATATATGCCTTTATTAACTTATTAAGACATCTACCAGACATTCTGTTGAAGATTTCCTCGCTGTCAGTGTGCCAGTTGCTGGGCACGCACAAAAGGCTCTTCCCCAACGTCTTCCACTCTGCATTTAGAAACCTGCCAAGTTTTTTTCTTTGTTGCTTCCTTTTACTTTTTATCTCAACTTTTAAAACTATATTTGAATCTTAATGAGCTATCTTGGACACTGTTTTGAAGAGGAAGTCAGTATAATGTAAGGTTGAAGAAATAAAAAGAAATTCCACCCTTAGGAAATGCTTATATTCATCTTCTAAATGCAATCTAGTTGAAGGGACTTCTGCTCGGTTGGAAGTCCTAGAAGTTAAAAGAAAAGGGGAACTCTGACTACAGCAGAAGAAACTTCTGCAAAAGCCACAGAAGGAAACTTTTCTTTCCAACATATGTGTGTGTGTGTGTGTGTGTGTGTGCTCAATGTGACCAGATATATGACTAATAACTTTGCATTCTAACATATTTGTACAGCATGCATTAAATCAAAATCGTCCTTCCAATAAATCTAAGTCTTAGTTCAGCATGAAAGAGAATTTTTGAGAATACATGTGACAAGGAAAAGAAATCCATTGTGATTCTCTTTGAATGTTTCTAACCCAGTAGCCCCCAACTTGGCTTTTCCAGATTCTTGGGACTGTAACACATCTGGAGGGCACAAAATGTTGGGGGAAGAGAGTTTCAGATTTTAGTTCTTCATTTATTTGTTTATTTATTTTTACAGATGAAGGATGTTTTTTTCTTTCTCTTTTTCCTGAGCGTGTGGCTTATTGCGTATGGGGTAGCCACGCAAGCGTTGCTTTATCCTGATGACAGTCGTGCTGAGTGGATTTTCAGGAGGGTCCTTTATCATCCCTATCTTCAAATATTTGGACAAATTCCACTGGATAAAATAGATTGTGAGTTTAATTTACAGTACCTTAGTAATCCTACTTTTTAATAAAAGGGGCTTTGGCAGATGATAATAAATTAGTCCACAGCATTCTTATTGCACTACATCTGAAGTCATGTGTACTGTAATGCTTTTATTGTATTCACTATGATGAATGGCATAATTCACCATGATAGACATAGAGCAATTCAAAACTTAACAGAGTGTGCTGATTTGCACAGTATTATAAGCCCTATCACTGTATCATACCAGCTAGAGAAATTTAGTTGTATGTGGGTAAAGCCATAATTTGCATAAAATAGAATTGACAAAGGCAGAAGCATAAGGCAAATACGAATGCATTCTGGTTACCTATGACAAAAGCCCATTCTAGTCCTTCACCTTGAAAATCAGTCTAAAAAGTTTGGATTTAGGTTTAAATTAGATTCAGTGACTTCAATGAAGTTTATAACAGATTCTTCCAAGTCCTTTGGCTGGGTTGTTTCTTCAGAAGTTGTGACAGAAATGGCAAAGTCCAATTGTCCTCTTTTGCTATCTCTTTTTGCTTCCCTGTTAAATTCTGTTCCACTTGGAAGTTCTGGTTCCTAGGCCTATCCCTTATAGATGCTACTGCTGAGTGTCAGCTCCATCAGTTTACCTGATTCTTTTGTAAACTCAATGTAGTAGAACTTTGTTTTAGCAAATCATTCTGAAGATTTAACAGTTTCAACCATCTTTCCTCCCTCCCTCCCTCCCTGCCGCCCTCCCTGCCTCCCTCCCTCCTTTCTTCATTTCTTGTTTTTTTTTTTTAAACTTCACTACCACAGCATCTCGCATGGATTTTGAAAACTGCACATTGGGTCAGCAGAGGAACCAGACAGCGAGTGACTTCTCATGTCCCAGTGCCTATGCTAATTGGCTGGTCATAATACTCTTAGTCATTTTCCTACTGGTTACAAATGTGCTGCTTATGAATCTCTTAATTGCCATGTTCAGGCAAGTATAAAATGAGGGTCTATATAAGAAAATATAAAAAGTCTTCTATCCAATAGCCGCAGATAGAATAATATGCATGGCCACTCTGGGACTTATCTTTTGGATGTGTGTGTGTATAATAGATGGAATCCACAAAAGATTTTGCAAAGAAAAGCAGTAGCAAAATAGACACACTGGGAGTGTAGCTCTGTATTTTAAAATAAACCCTGTTGAGTAAGTGTAATGTGATTTACTTCTTGTTAAGTGTTTGTTAGACTGACATATTTACATACTAGTTCTTGACTTACAACCATGCAGTTGGAACCAAGATTTCCATTGCTAAGCAAGGCAGTTGTTAAGTGAGTCTTCCCTATCTTGTGATCTTTTTGGCCATGGTTATTAAGAGAATCAGTGCAGGTTTTTAAGCAAACCACATGGTTGTTAAGTGAACCCAGCTTCCCACATTGACTTTGCTTGTCAGCTGATTGGGAAGGTCATAAATGGTCATTACATGACACCGGGACACTGCAATCATCGTAAATATATGCTGGTTGCCAAGTACCCAAATTTTGATCATGTGACTGTGGGGATGCTGCAACGGTCATAAGTGTATCACTTTTTTCAGTGCTATTGTAACTTTTGAGTGGGTCACTATCTGAATGATTCAAAGTCAAGGACTGGTCTGCTTCCTTAGCACTCATTTCAATGAAATTTGGTTGTCCCAGGTTTGTCACAAAAAGAATTGCTGATAGAATCAGGACACTTCTCAATCCATTTAAAATGAAGACTTACAGTCATATTATTCAGCATATTATTAATATGTGTAAATATGTTACTCTTGCAAAGTTTAAATTCTTAATAAAGTTGCACATGTTGTATGCAATAGCTAATTTGTGCAGATAGTTAAATAAATAGTCCTATCTCTGGAAATAATCTATTTCACTTTATTTTCTCTGGCGATTAATAAGGGAGAACTTTTATAGCTTATGTGGAGTTCTAGACATTTGTCTTCGTAAGACTTTATGAAACATACTTGCCATCTTGGGACCTTTTATAAGCCACTGAAAATATTTACTATGATCTCAACTTGTCCAGAGATATATGGCAATATAGTTGGATAACCTTCTTCAAATAGGCAGGAATACTGATGTGATCTTTCTGGCCTATTCATGTGATCATATTATCTCTTCCTGATCTGGAAGTCCTAAATAGCTCGTGTTCCTTCCAGTTTTGGGTGATGTACCTTTGGGATACAGAACAAAAATAAAAACGGAAACATAAACTTTTGTCTATTTTAAACTAAGGGACATAACAACACTAAAACAAATACAGCCTAAAATATTCTATAGTCAGTGGAAACAGCTACATTCTTAGGTAGCAAATAAATATATCACATATAGATCTTAAATGCTTGGATATCTCCCAAATGGCAGTTGAACTATAAAACAAGCCAATGAAACAGACAGCTTGTGGAGAATATTGGAAGAAATTTTAACAAAATGGTGATATTGTTTCAGGTGTAGTCTCATTTGTCCTATGTCCTACACCAATGCTTGAAGATTCACAGGATTATTTTACCACTTTCAGGAATGTATTGATTCAGATTAAACTTGAGGCTTAGAAATGCCTCTCCAAATCACTTGAAACAATTACAGTATCATCTTTCATACAAAATGAATTGTGAAATTCATTTTACCTAAGCAAAATCCAAATTTGTTTACTGACAGTGTTAATCACACCCAAAAAAGCTGGCAGACTGCTTCCTCAATTAGAAAAAAAACATTAAGAACTTTACACATTTGAAAACAATATTCTCTTCAGCGAATAAGATCTGTTGATACAACCCTTCTTCCTTTTAAGTTACACTTTTCAGGTTGTTCAAGGAAATGCAGACATCTTCTGGAAATTTCAGCGATACAAATTGATTGTTGAATACCATGGTCGTCCTGCATTTGCTCCTCCTTTTATCATTATTGATCACATTAAACTATTTCTCAGAAAACTTCTTAAGAAAACCGAACACAAAAAAGAACATCTGGGTAAGCTATGGGGAGAATAGCTTGAGGATTACATCTATTCATACACACACACATACATACAGTACATATATTAATGTATAATAATAAGCTGTATTATCAGTTTATGTAATAGTAAAGTTCATTTCTATATAATTAGCTGTGGATTATTATTTTTTAAAATTGAAATTATGTAGGGGATGAATAACCTTCCTCACTATGGTGCCCTCCAGATGGTTTGTAATCCAAACTATCTGGATCATTTTACATTGCAGAAGTCTGCATTAAAATGGTATTATCTTTAATTATATTAAAACAAATTAATGTTAAAAGCAAAATTGAATTAAACATTAAATTTTAATTAAAAATAAAAACCTTACACTTTCTTCAAAATATATCAGTAGAAACTATTACTGCTATAGCAGAGAGAACAAATGATGAATATTTGTAAGATCAAAGTTACAAATGCACACTGCTATGGGGCGTCCCCCTCCAAGAGATTTTCCAATTCTATTACAAGTAGATTAAAAATAGACTACTACATTTTAAACTAAAATAAGACATTTGTCTACATTGGACAAATGTGAGGAAGCATTCAGAATGGAAATTAAGGTTGCCCCACACATCCTCCAGAGTAGAGAAGAAAATTTGTATGGGGAAACATTTCCTATGTTGTGGGTACAGGAATAGTATCCTGTGCTTTTGTGAACTGGGTTAGCGAGCTTCTTTCAAGATACAGCAATGAGTCAGTCATTGGACTTAGACTAAGTGGTCACTTTCATACTGACATTCTTAAAGTGTATGTTCAAGTTCAAGGGAACTCAATGAAAACTGGGCATACAGTATTACTAAGGTGCCTTCAATATTTATTTGATTATAGCGTAATATTTAAACTCTACAAAAAAAAAAACAACAAGTGATGATTTTTCTATATTTTGGTGTAGTTTCCACCCCCTCCTTTGGCAACTGTTTCCTTTCCCCCAGCCCAAATTTAACTCTCCTTTCCTTCAGAAAGAGACATTCCAGAAGAACAGGATAAAACATTAATAACCTGGGAGATGCTCCAGAAAGAAAATTACCTGGCAAATTTGGAAACAAAGAAAAAAGAAAGCAATGAGGAAAAACTGAAGAAAATGTCATACAAGTAAGTAAGAGTTAGCAAGTAAAATGCAGTTTGATGTACCTAATTAAAAAAACAAGCAACATATTTACATGTTTATAATAAGGTCAGCAGCAAACATTTTATAATGGGTGGCTTTATTTACTTCATTTTCATTCTCTTAGTCTTTTCCTGTTTCCCTTTCCCTTTTTGAAGCTGTTAATCCCACCCCCACGTGCAACTTAATCCAACATCATTGTTCTTCAATCCAACCTACTGCAAATGTCCACTGTACAGATCTTTCTCTAGGTGATATGGGAAACCGCAGCATTCAAAAATGCACACATATAATTTGGAATATGGCCCTTGAAAATGTCAGGAATGGCATTAATAGAAGTCATTTTTTGTGATAAGCTATTCTAAATGTAGAGATGAACAGCAGATTCTGATGTTTAGAGTCCAGTTCAGACATCCAGTTGTCTTAGTTTCACCAGCTGAATTCTAACTAGAACAGGATTGCACAGAAGTGTCAACAGATACCTCCATGTAGAATCTATGTACATGGGTTTTGAGTAGCATGTAGCAATCACTCAAAATCCAAGCTAGAAGATGAGTTGCTATAGTAGGTGGATGGATCAATCAATCTTACTGTTCATTTCCTAGATGAATAATTATTAATTCACATAAATTATTTGCAGTAGAAACTCTTCTAAATTTGTCTTTGGATGCTCTACTGAGTTCTTTAGGATCTCCTCTTTGACAATGTTCTTGTTCTGACTCTATTATTGTTGATTCATTTTAAAACAGGGTAGACAGCCTTTTGAAGAATTTTAGTGGTCTAAAAGAGCAAGAGAAACAGCTTAGATCTTTGGAATCACAAGTAAGAATTTCTTTTTATGCTTCAGTTGCACATTTTTATTTGTTCATACATATAATTCCAAGACCAAGAAGTTCAAAAATCATGATAGGATTTCATGCATCAATCAATTTTTTTTTGTTTGGGGCATGCTTAGGTGAGGTGGATAAACAATAGATTATGGTCTTCTCTAGAAGGATGCTTCTAGATAATAGAAGTAATAAATATACCTTCAAAATATGTTACATTCAAATAGCACTTTGGATTCTAAACCTAATGAACAGTTCATAGATTCAAAGGTCTCAAATGGACAAAAGAGCTAAGAAGAAATTACTGTACATGCAATTACTTAGAAGTAAGCCTACCCAGAAGTAAAACTACTGAAGTAAATGGGTAAAGGGTTTCAAAGTTCAGCCTACAATCACATTCTGATTCTATGACTGTATCACAAAGCAAAACCACTATGCCATCAGCTTTGATTTCACAGAACTTTGCTATAATTAGTAGTATAATTGTAGTATGTCTTGAATAGTAATGGTATCCAAATAATTTGGCAGATACTTTAGTGAAAAACATTTTATTTTTCAGCAGGCCAAACTCAAACTACAAACACGTGAGTAATGTGCTAATAAAGATTGGGTGGAGTGGGAGAGGAATGCAAAACAAAGTTTAAAAAAACCCTAAAATCCATTAAAAACAGTCTAATACACAATACATACCAGAATTGTTGTAGAAGCGTACATAACTGTGCTAAGTACAATAATGGCTATGACTTCATACATTGCATCCAGTCATAATGAAGTTTTTTTTGGCTTGGACTGGGTTTTGTGAATCCAGCTATTTTAATTAATGCTTAACAATTGTGCCAATAAAACAATGCTTTATTCAATTAACTACGAGAAACAAGCCATAGCCTTTAGGAATGTGTAAACCTTATTTTCTTAATCATTATTTTCTAAAGAAAGACACAATGATGCAATGGTTAGGAATCTTTGCCACTGCTTTTCACTGGCTAGCTAGTCACAGCTATCCCTCTGCATTCCGGCTTAACCTATGTGAAAATATGAGGAAAATGATGGCTTGGTACATAAGAAAACAAAGTCACCTCCCGATGCCAGGCTCATTTTGCTACATACTAAATATCGACTGCCCTTCAAAAACACATTTTCAGACTGAAACAATTTCAACATTTTTAGTTTATCTGAAAGTAGCAGTCAGCCCTTCAAGATAGACTAGGAAACCAAATACTTTCATAAGGTGTTACAGTAGTAACAGATTTTTGCAAGTCTGAATGTGCTTCTTCCCTCTATCCCTTTGTGTGAACTAGGGAACAGCTTGTCTGAGACTTTCTCAGGTTACAGTTCTGCCCGGACTCAGGTTTTAGTTGAGTTATCTTGGTTGCACCTCATCCTCCCTATGGTTATTCTTTCTGCCTAATATATATGTATAGCCTAATTTAGGATCTACTTAGGTTCAGCAAGTCTGCTTCTCTCTATGCTCATTTCCTTTCATTTTGGAAGTGTAGTGGTTAGACACCAGACGAGAAAGTGAGACTGTGAGTTTTAGTCTCTGAATATGAGGTCAGCTGGTGACCTTGGGCCAGTCACACTTTCAGCCCTAAGGAAAAGGAAAAGGCAAACCACTCCTGAAAATCTTGCCAATAAATCTTACCAGGAGTCAAAATTAACCTGAAAGTACCAAGAAACAAGCAGCCCCTCTCCCTTTGGAATAGTCTTGTGGCATCTTCAAACATACCTATTTCTTATAGCTATGTTTCTCTGCACTAAAATGAATATGTTATATAATTATTAACCTTAAGATAGCACAATACTCCCTCAGCAGGCACAGGAGAGGTATTTGAATAACAAATACTTGGGATATTAAAGAATTGCATATAGGTAGGGGGGGAAAATACCCCACATACAAAACAGCACAAATTAGCCACATAGCTGGTTAATTTTAACACCTGCTAATGAGAACAAAGTCTCACTTACCCAACGAAGAGCATTAAGTTAGCATTGCCCAAGAGCTCCCACATTTTGGGGATTAGAGCTTCTTTTGAATATGGGAAATCTCATACCTGTTTCTCATTTAAGCCAGGTAAAAATAAACAAAACAACTTGATAATATATGTGAAAAGTAAGCACAAATGGACTTTCTTTAAAAAAATAATAAACATGTACAGTATAAAAATGGAAGTGTTTTCAATTTCTAGGCACGAGGTAGTGGAATTTGGTCTATAACTCGCCAGATTAATCTTTAAAGATTGCAGGTGTATTATTTTCCCATTCTTGAACATCTCTACTGAAATACATTGAAAATATGTAAGGTGTTTAACAAAGACAAGCTAGCCTTGATAATTAGCATTACAAGAAGTAACTTGTTCAGATCTCACTATAGCTGCTCATTCTTTATATAACCAATATTTTCATTTAAATTTTCATGTTTCATAAATGCAGGCACTGATCAAATGATTGAACCAGAAAATGAAGACGGGGTAGATACCAGTTTGATGATGTGATGTATATCGATGATTGTAAAAGATCATTTCTCCATATAATTTTGTCAATTCAAATACCTAATGGATATTTTCTTTTAATGTCAGAGCGCCACCGTGTCATAACTACATAATGCCTTCCCTTTAAATTATGTCCAATGTGTTTCCTGTAAATTATCTACTGAAATCTCAAAAATATTACTTACTTTTTATTCCAATCTTCACCATTAAAATAAATGTTACGCTGTGACTCTGTAAATTTATTTAGACCAAAGCTTTCAATATTTTAACCAAGGAACATTTACATACCTTGAGCTTTACAATTATCCTTCCTTGATATAGTTGTACACAGTATTCATTGATCTGCTTCCCTCATATTGTGCCTTTCCTCTTTAAGTTAATTATATATTACTAGTGTAGTTAATTTCCAATCTTGTTATTTTCCACTAATCATGAATTAACAGTACATTACCTTTAATTCTTTTGTCATTGTAGTACAAAATAGTTTCAATCCAAATATTTAATAAGTCTTTTTTGTATAATTAGACTGTGTTAGGCATTGTAATATATAGGTAGTCCCAATTTAGCAGTTGACCCAGACAGCGACCGCAGTTAAAACTGTGATGAAAAAATAACTTTGTGACCAATGGCCGCATTTATGATCTTTCAGGACTTTAAAGCAAAAGAAAGATAAAGTAAGATAATAAGCATTGCTGAAATTTCACTTAGTGATTGCTTTGTTAATGATTGAGTTACCATTTCCAATTGTGATAGCTAAATAAGCATTACCTATAAACAGGAATAAAACTTTTTTCCCCCAACCAATGCATTTATTCATGACCAAACATGCCAAGGTTAGAGTAATGCTGGGGTAGGTGTACAAGAGAACTTTAGCTGAATGAGATGGCTTCCTTAAATGTGAAAGTGTGACAAGTAGGAAAGGGCTAATGGGTAAAAAGGGGTACCCTAAGAGTAGAGAGAAAACTAGCTTTTGACACAAATGGGTAGCTGCTAACATGCAGGTACAGAATTTTCAACCTAATTAAGCAGTTGTTCCCAATTTTAATTGACACCAAAAATATCAAATGGATATTCTGCTAGAAATACTATTCTAAGCTCCTTTATTCTTACATAAACAGTTTGGCCGACACAAATCCATGTACTTTAGAGTTTAGAAGAAGCTTCCAAGTATGGAGGGGAAAAGATCTTTTACTTTTCAAGGAAGTTGTGGCAATTCAACAGTCTGAACCAATCAAGTCTAAGTATGGCTTGGTTGGTTTATTTTAATTTTAGAAAGCATCTCTTCCAATTCCTTAACACTTTTCCTATGATCTTAACATACTGTATGTTTACATATTCTCGTCTCTAGCCGAACAACATATGAGTTGTTATATTTCATGCTTTTATTTTAATTCATACTGTGAAATAATATTGGTTAAACCTTTGCCTCAGCTACAATAAACTGATAAATCTTGTACCTCATCCACAAGGTGTGTTTTGTCAATTATGAATTGGTTGAGATAACAATACAGTATACTGTCAAAACATTTTGGTATGAATAGCCGAGCCTCCCTTCATAAACAGAAACTCTACATATTGTTGGACTATCTCAAAGTAAAATGTCTTATATTTATTGCAAAACACAGCGGGATTTTGTCGGAAAGGACAAAGTTACAAGTATTCTTAGTCACAGCAACAAGCATGATAAGGAAAACAATTGCCCAAATTAATGCAAATGATGAAGATAATATTTTGAATAAGCTATCACTGGAAAAAGACAAATACAATGTTTCTGGCTTTTAGGGTTCTTCTTCTTCATCAAGGTTAGCTTTGGGTCGGAAATATTTCCTACTCCTTTTCTTGCTACCATGAAACCCTATGGTTGTTGTCACATTCTCTTCAGGCTCCTCGGGAGAATCTGTGCTGGCTCTTTGAGCACCTTGTTCTTCCAATTTCAGCAGCTCCTTTTCTCTTTCTTTGCTTTCTGAGGGATCTAGTATAACTACATCACCTTTATTCTGGGCATCCAAGTTACCCAGAGGCCTTCCACTGGTCTCTTGATTTGCATTAATGTTGGCTTCCAACTTTTCCTCTGTTGAAGCTCCTCTTTTTTTCCCTGATCTGTCTAAGCCTGTCTTTACTGGTTTGCTAAAGATAATTCTTCCTGCACCAGAGCTAGAAGCATCCTGGTTGAAAGATGGTACATAATTTTCAGGATGTGCTGAGCTTTGTTCCTTCCTACCCTTGTTCAAGCCACTAAAGAACTCCATAGCAATTGATCTGTTGGTATCATCATTACATTCTGCAACATTCTCCAAACTGTATTTGGTCCAGCGTTCTGGATGGGCCACATAATCAGGTACTGGTGGGGAACTTTTATAGGACTGAATTGGCTCACATTTTCTTCCAAAGCTTTCCGCAGGCGTCTTGTTTGAAATGCTGAGTGGTGGCAGAGGGCGTTTAAACCTTCTATCAATGACATTGTCTTCACCTGTCAAAGGCACTGCCTGCTTGGCTGCTCCTTCCAGACAATCAAAAATGTTCTGGCTGCGCTGTGAAAAGCTCGAGCTCATGCCTTTCAAATGAAAGGGCTGAACAACTGATTTTTTGCTGCTGTGCAAAGAGTCCCCACTCTTATTTGATTCACAATCCACATCATCTGATGGAAGCGGCTCCTCAGGGGACACAACATCAACTTCAGCACTGCCTGCAAACTCAAAATCTTCTGAATCTGAGTCACTCAGGGAAACTGTATCTGATGGAAGGATGCCTTCGTAATCTGTGGCTTCATCAGTCACAATACCCACAAAGGGTTCGCCTGCACCTTCATCTCCCATTCTTGATGATCACTTGTTTATACTGCCTTGATTTGGGTCTTTCTGCAGCCAAATACTTTTTTCAGCTGTTTCTCAGAGAATGTTTAACACCTCCTAGAACAAAAAGGGAAAGTTACATGCAAATATATAAGGACACATTATTGATATCTGCTGCTTCATGAGAGATTTCAAGATCAAAAGTACCAAAACTTCAAAACAAAAAGAGAGAGAGAAAAAAAATTAAGAGATAAACTATAATCTAATCTATTATCTCAGCTGGGATCACTTTTGTTTTTATAAACAATTTTGACATTGTATAAATAGATTCTAAGTAGATTTTACTACAAGATTTCTTGTGATATGTGATTTTTCCATTTGTTTTTAAATAAATCTATAATTCTGTAACCTGTCGCGCTATTATGATTTTACAAGAGTATACATTCTAGCCTATTTCTGCTGTGCTTTCCAGATTGAATGCCATTAGCGCATCTCCTTTTACAAGTACAAACATCTAATAATCATATTTGTAGAGAAACTCTCAACTGGTCAATTTTTAAACGCTTTAGATTTTTAACCCAGGGAACAGAACTTCATTTTAATTAAGATTTCATTAAGAATAGTGGGTAATCTATCAGTACCAACCTACCAAGAACTTATATTAAAGATCAGTCATCTTAAATGAAAGCAAAGTTCTTGCTTATAAGAAATAAAATTAAAATACAAGCTGAGAAAATCTATGATCTACTGCAGAATACCACTCAAAATTGTGAAAATTAAAAACTTAGTAGTATTAAATAATCTATAACCACCACATTTTGCTTTTTATTTAAGAACGGAGATAATATTTAGCATAAACTAGTGGCTTCTTTAAATTATGTGTTCCTTTTGTGTATTTCTAACATAATATCTTTGCGCTGATATGCAACTATTACCATTTAGAATGACTGTGTAAAAATCTGGAACATAAAGCAACTTCATTTTGTTTTGACAATTCATCCAAAATGATTATTTGGTGCTCTGAATTAATTACAATTCTGTAATACTTTTGTGTGTAGATATACATGAGGTTTGTTGGTACAACTTCATACTATTTCTGAAGTCTGAAGGCCTTTTTAGGTACTTAAGCATGTTTAGTAGCCCAACAGTATTAGTGTTCTTATTTAGTAACAGATTCCCCACCATACGAGAACTGTAATTGACAAGAGCCGTCCAACAAAGTACTTTATGGTGATGGTAAACAGGCATGGAAGAACCTACTAGCCACTCACCATCTGGAGTATGAACCAGTATTCCATCCTCTGGGTCAGTAAAAGCCACCAAGGTTCTGAGATCCTGTACCCTGGCAGTAAGAGGTTGGACATTTCATCAGCGCAATCAAAAATGTGGAGTTGCAATATTCTAGTATATCAATAGTACTTGTCACTTTAATAAGTGTACCCTCTAGCTTTGCAATGTTATCAACTACAAATAATTAATTTAAAATTGGAAAGCAAAGATATTTGTTTTATTTATTAATCTAATTTGTCTCTAGTAGAATTTTGGGGCAACATATTATTGCACACCAGGCAGACAGCAATTACTATACCTCAGTGTTGGGACTTACACACCAGTGGATCTGTAGGACTGTTTAAACCATCACTAACAACCAAATGCTAATGCAATACAATTAAATCACCAAGCATAAGAATATAATTGGATGAGATCAGAAAAAGAATCAAACTCAAGTTCTGTTTTTCAAGGACTAAGAAATGTAGATTAAAGAAATGCACGTTACAGGTTGTGCATATTTTAGGGTTTTGTTTTGTTTTTTTGTTTCTCTCTCTGATCCATTCACCTCCTCCCCCCTGGTTGGGCAGTAAACAATAAAATTGTTCCAGAGAGAAAAGACTCACAGGATGTTTGCAGCAATCTGATTGCAACATAATTCAGACATAATGGCTTTTCTGTGACTGAAGTCCCCATCAAAATCTTCCATAGTAGTCTTGATCCTTGCTATCTCAACTGTGGGAAAGCCAAAGAGCATATTACCTTTTCCTTCCCCATCAAGCTTATGCTATTGAAGTAAGTTAAGTTTCATTTATTTTATTTGTATCCTGGTTGTATTATTTTTACAAATAACTCAATGCAGTAAACATATCCAACACCTTTCCTCCTTCTATTTTCCCCACAAGAACTCTGTGGGGGCAGATTGGGCTGAGAGAAGGTGAATGGCCCAGTCACCCAGCTTTCCATGGCTAAGGCAGGCAGAACTAGACCTCAACAGTCTCCCACTTTCTAGCCTGATACCTTAACCACTTAGACCAAACTGGCTCTGTTCCTTTTTTTAAAGCTCTTGTTTTAAGATAGGCTTAACAAATATATTTATCTGATGGGCCTGAAATCATGATTGTAACCTGTCCACATCTTTCTTGTGGTTTTGGATAGGTAAGAGGAAGTGCGAAAACATTAATTGGGGGAAAGCACTCCTTTCTTACCAAGGAATGCTTAATTCTTTAATTTTTTTGGAGGCCATGCAGTTCATAAATTAGTTACCCTCTACTACAGAGATATTAATGTACATATCTGAAAGAAAGCAGGCTGGCTTGCCAGATATGACTGTGCACTTGATAATCAATACATCAATCACACTAAGAATTATATTAAAAAAACAACTGATAATGGAAAAATGGCACTTCTCCTATTTTAAAAGGGGAAAAACAAAGAGAAAAATATCAAATAAAAAGCAAACTATTGCCGTTATGCAATAGTTTTTATGTGAACACTGCCACATAATTATGTTACCATACCTCTGTTAAGACAATTTGAAGACTTCAACGTGCAAAGCACGGTTATAATGATTTCCTAGAGAGAAGGGATGTTTCTGCTCAGATAAATTATTGCCTCTCACCTTTGTGAACCTAATGATATAATCCCAAGCAGGTAATCTGCAAGAACTTTCACTCTCGAGTCTTTAAAAAAAAATTGAATCCAAAAGGGGGAAAAAAATCTTGAATTCACCTGCTTCGAAAAATTCACTGTCCCAAGAGACAGGACGAATATAATCTTAAGATCACTTTCATGTAGTAAAATGAAGGGTCAGCCGCGGGCTTAAAAATAGTTTAGACCCACAACGTAAGACGGCAGGGCTATTAAAAACCGGGAGATATCGCGGCCGGATGCTTGGGAAACGCTGTCAGCCTGATCCAGCCCCACAGACCTTCCTCTCGCATATCCTTCTGCCCACACACGTCCCGCTTATCTCCCAGATCTCCGGGACCAACGGCCGCTTCCGCAGCTGCTTTTTCAAGACACTGCGTAGAACTCCTCACCTGCAAGGGCCCGTTTTTCCCACCTGCGCGCGCAGCCCCTGTCGCTCGGTTCCGGATTCGGCGCGCCGTCCCCGCCGTCGCTTTCCCGTTGCTTGATGGGATGAGAAGTTTTCTCGCTCCGAAAAAGCCCGTGGGAGCTTACGCCTCCATCGAAGCATTTGAACGACCTGTCCCAGAAGTCATTTCGCAACTGAACTAAAACCCGACAAAAGTTCTTCCTTCGGTTTCCCCCCCCCGCAATGTCTTCTGGGATTTGTAGTATTATTATTAATACTACAATATTAATACTATTATTAATACTACAGTACTATTGCCGGAGCC